TTCGAGAATGACGCATAAAATCTAATGAAGGATTTCGAGAGTGTTCACCACGTGTTGTAGAAGGCCAGCAGCGATTTTCGGGTGCTGTCGAGTTTCCACGACCTACTCGCAAATCCCATGATGAATTGCGTGAATGAGAAGAATGACGATTCGAGACAACGTTTGTAGGTTCCGGTACACGTACCATGGAACCGGGTCTGGCATTGCCACTTGTGGATGAAGCTGCTGCAGCAGATGTTGATGGCAGACATGGTTCCAATGGGATTGGTGCAGCTGCTGCTGCTGCTGACGCAGCGGTAGTAGTATTACTTCGAGAAGAATTTACCGGTTCCTGGTTCGGAAGGCCTGTTGCTGTTGATGAAATTGTATTTGCAGCCGGAACATTCTGCTGCTGATTAATTATTATGTTATCGTTTGGTGGTATAGGTGGTGCTGGCAAGAATCCATAAAACAATACATCCCCACACGAGGAATGATTTAAGTCTTCGCACAAAGCCAAACGCTTTACTAGTGGTGTCAAACCATAGTATTCCGTTTCATGCCTCAAAGCTCGTATTTCACAATTTTTCACATCAATTTCCTTGGTGCGCAAATAGTTTAGAATGATGGAAAACAATGCTGGGTCACGATCAATAAAAATTGCACCAGTTTCATCTTTTAAACTTGAAATGCGACCACTTAATAAAGCCGTAAAGAAAGTATCGGGTATCCATGTTAATGTTTGTCTTGAAGTTGAGAATCTGAAATTAAAAAGTGAATGATGCTTAGTGATCCTGGAGCAAACCTCATATTTTCCAGAAAAATAGTGAGCTGTAAATGTTGGTCGCTTTGGTTAAATCCCAAAATGTGGCCAAAAATTCGTTTAAAAATCTAGATATTTACATGGAAGTTACTAGAAAGATTGGGACAAATCGAAGGAAGCAATTCCTCAATTTAAGACTTTAATGCAATTTATTATTTAGATTTCATTTTTGCATTTTTCTTCGTTAAAGGGTATCTGGACCTATATTTTCCCTTTTTAGTTCAAATATAATTCGGATTGAAATGTTTTAAAAAATAATAGACACTAATGGTCCATCTTCGAACTAATTAATATTTGATAAAAATTCATATTAACTTAATTTTGACTTAAGGTCAATTGAAAACATCAGTGTTTTATTTTTATAATTTTAATTTTTTATTTTTCGATATTTCGACTGTCTTTGACAGTCAAATATTACAATGTGGTTGACAGACACCGATATAGTATCTAGCATCCCAAGATTATTATCAAACTTGATATAATTTATCAAAGCTCCATGAGCTCTCAACAAATCGAAAAACGGAAACGGCAATATTGGCCCATTCCTTCGGAAACTACTCTATAGAGGGTCAACAATTTGAATAGTCCAGTCAGAAGTCCTAAAATATTTTAATAATCGCACTTGGGCTGAGGGTATACATCTGTCGGCAAATCCGACTGATACTTTATAACTTATTTTACTTCATTTTACATTCCAAACAACATCACGCATCATCACAAAGCACAAATGAACATTTGATTATTCTTAAAATTACAAGCTCAACATATAACTTGTTGGCGACTCTAAGAAATGTGATAGGTACTTGTTTTCGAAATGAAGAATGATACAATAACATGCCACGCATCATAATAACAACACCACAAGACAAGTGGTACGTCCCAACAGAATTTGTTGAACAGAGCTTGACTAACCTGATATCAAAGTAAGCGGAAATATGAATCTATATTCAAGACTCTTCGCAAAACTAATCATGTATATTTTTACATTGACTGATGTGTATATATTTTTGCATCCATTCATATTTGTATTTAAAACTATCACCCAAACATTTCATTCATAACCCATTAAACTATTATTTGCTTGTGGTGGCATCCGTCTCGGTCGTCGCGGTAAAACAATAACATTCCCTGCGTAGATAAGCCGTATAAAGACAAAACAACGATTGTTGTTGTGACCCCGAAAAAAACAACAAACTATGAAAAACAAATGATTCAGTACATCTGATGGAATGTAGTAACAACATTCAACAGTACTCTGCTGCTTGCTATGTATACACAAATATCATTTGACACACAAATTCTGCCAGATGATGGAAAATTTCTGCACAATCCATTTCTTTTAACAGCAGATTAAACTGATCCATCCGAAATAGTTTCAACTCACCTCTGACCCCCTACATTGAGATTAACCAAATCACCACTATGAGCAAAGTAGGACATGTCTTGCACAATCCAATTCCTACTACAACGACCCACTAATATTTGTTGGCTTCTTAGTGGGGTCTACTCCCTTAGTGGTGATTTTTGTTGTCTTTTTTCACAATTCTTTTAATATTTCTCGTTTGTTACTTGACGACGTGTACACAAATTAATGTCACTCTTTTATTTGTGTCTTATTCAAGTGCCAATACACAAATGAGATGTGTTTTTAAACAAATTTATTGACAATTATGACGTTGTTGCATTTTTCTAGAGAATTATCGAATATATCGATGTTATCACTAAACGATTATGTTGATTTCGATTGAAAGTTTATAAAACAAAATCAGTGAAAAATGATAACACAGTTTTCTACTAATCAGCTGATACATATGAATTACACCATGTTCTCACTGGCCCTTGAAGTACTTTTTTCGGTCTGACAATTATGTACACAAATTAACGTATTAATAATGATAAGCAAAGCAGAAATAACCAACGTAAACTCCTGCAAACATATGATATAGAATTTCTCTATACAAACTACGTAAATATGTCAGGCCACTTTATTTTCTAGTTTGGGAATTGATTTTGAAATTTTTTAAAAATGATATGACCTATTCCAAATGCTTCCAAAATTTGCTATTTTTATATCATAAAAGAAAAGGTTTACATTCTTGCAGACGTGGAATTACTTATTACCAATGACAAGACACTTTTCATTTGTTCTAATCAATTTTATAATTTGTATATACATTCAAAATAGGCGGAAGGTGAATATCCTAGAAATCATTCTTTAGTTTTTTTTCAGATTTTCATTTTTTTTTTTTTTTTGTATTTTCCAGTAACTGCTAGAATCTACTATTTTTTACAATTTCCTGCGATATCATAAAGAGGAAATCGGTTGTCGTAGTAAAAACTTAAACTTTCCAGCAGTTCTGGAACAAAACAATAGTTTCTGGCTTTATAGGCAAATAGGAAACCGTGCCCAGGCCCGCTCCCACTCGAAGGCGAGTGATTATCACTCTTTGTACAAATTCGAGCGAGTGTAAAGAACTTTAATCACTTTTGCGACCAAAAATCATTTGTATCACTGCCTTGCGTAAACAAGAGGTATAGCTATATAATTATTTTTAAAAAAATCTACAGTTCTTGCTTTTCACCCTTCTCTTCAAAATAATAGCATTTCATTTTAAGCTTGCTTTATTCATTCATCGATACCACCAGCGTATTTCTCCAACAATTCTTGTTTACGTTTTCTGAGTAAAGCTTCTTCTACATCCTTTTGTGTTGGTACTGGAACATGTGCGGTAAACTTCGGAGCTAATAACTCCATAGGATTTTCCTCCTTATCTAATGGTTGTTCAGAATTTTTCGCATCTTCAGCAGCTTCTCGTGCAGGTATTGATAATGGATAAATATCATCATCACCGTCATCATCATCTAAATCGATTCGACCATCTCGAGCCATTTTCTCCTTCCATTCTCGTACAGCACTTTGGACGGCTATTTGTTCGATACGTTCCTCCAGTGGTATCAAAATGCCATCGTCGTCGTCACGGTAGCCATAGTATTCGGCATCGACATCTTTCATTAATTCAGCACGTGTCTTACGCGGTGGTGGTGGAGGTTCTTGTTCAAATAGTTCTCTTACTCCCGGCAAATCTTTGGCTGCACCAAAATATTTATAGCCACGATTTCCAGGCACTTCTCGGCCTTCAGCATCAAACATTTTTGGGCCATATCTGCGATAATGTGGTCCACCCAATGCTGATATTTGATTTTCCCAATGACGTTTTTCTCTTAGCAATTTGTTGATTTCGTCATTTAGGTCACGTATTCGGAATTCACCAAGACCGGCTAAACATATATATGAAACGATAAATGTATGTTGAATTGCACATAAAGCAACGCTTACCGTTTTGTATTTGTGCCACTTTGTTCGAGATTTCTCGAATAATTTCCAAGCGATACTTTTCACATTTCGGTAAATCTTGACATTCCGATGCCAAGTATGGCCGTCTATCCTTTTCCCCGGATTCAATCTCCTTAGCGGCACGCCACCGTGCCAGCGTGGTCCTGCATGATGGGAATGTTTAAACATGTTAACTGTTTTAGAATGTATAACGTTAAACTTACATTGCCTTTTCAGCATTTCGCGCCTGTAGACGAGAAAACAATTATGCATAAGATTAACATTTATTTCAATTATACAAATATTTACCATATTCCAAAGTATTTAATCAAGACAATAAAAAACAAAACGTTTGTTTACTATAAAACGATAGAAATAAAAAATCGATTACAATATTCTTGCACTATCGGGTTTTGGCGGTATTGTGTTCCCGTTATTATTTTAACCCATATTTGTGCCATGTTCTTACGGCATTTAACAAATGTTTTAATTTCCCAGAAATACATGAAAACACACGATACGATTGTTTAAATATTTACAGTTATGCTATGTTTACGTTAGAACTTTTTGCAGGGTTAACCTACTTCAAGAGGATTTATTTGAAGTATAAGTAATAAATATGACAATTTTAATCCAAATCCAGTGGGTTAACCCATTAATTAAAGTAAAGTCATTTCAAATAAGCATATCCATTTTAAATGATATCCAAGATCAAATGATTTGTCTATATATAAAGAATTTGTAAATACATATTTTGACAATGAGATGTTTTCAAATGAATAATTTTCGGAAAAATTGTAAACACATGATTGCATGACTTTACCAAATGATAAGGTCCTTAACATACAATAATCTTAAACTTTGGGAACGTGTTCCTTTACATATACACACTGTTGCACTGTTCTAGAACTTGCAGAAACTACTAGTTTAGTAATTGTTCAATATCATAATAGAAAATTCGGTTTGGTATACATAGGCAGCTTGGCATTGTTGCTTGTTACAGAACCTGATAGAATATACCAGTTTTGTTTTGGAAATATTGATTATTGTAGTAAAAATTGAGATTAGAGCTACCAGGTGATTACAATTTTTTTCTAAGTGTGCCCGACTTCTGTCAATTTTGTGTATGTATCTATTGTTTTGAAAAATGAAAACAAAATATTTTCAGAACCAATTGTTGGAAGATACATTAAAGCCATTGATCAGTTTAGCCATGAAATTGAAAGATTAAACAGCTCGGATTATATTTTTGAGAGAAAATCCATTTTTTGCGCTCTTTAACTCATTTTAAAAATGAGGAGAAATACGAACACAACTTGATGTATATAATTTTGAATGAGTGTGACAGGAAAGGGGTATAGTCACAGGGCTGTATTTCTGTAGTTTTACGAGGTTGTTCTACCTTCTTATTGCACCATGCAACTTCCTATAAAAATCAACAAACAAAAAATAAAATTATGTTACTATGAATTACGAATCGTGCAGTAAGAACGGGTTAATTCGTGTACCTAATTTTGAGAGCGAACAACGTGATTGAAATTTCAATGAGAACATAGCATAACAACAATCGACTATGAATAGTCGAGTACTCGGTTTTCACCCAAGTCCATAGAGGAGTTCGTGTTTCAGAACTTTAAGTCGATTATTCGATTAATCGAAAGTCGACTTACCTATCCCTAGTGTATGTTTACAAGTGGATGTAGATTGTTTACGTTTCATACTGATTGATTTGATTTTGTGATATTGATCCAAAATCGGCGTTTTTCTTATCCTATGTGATGGTGCACACATTTGGTGTCACATCTCAAGTAGATCTTGAGTCGTTCAGATCGCTGCCGCTTCGACGCTTCATACATTTTGAGAATAAAAATAATACAAGCATTTTTCCAATAGATTGAAAAGCAGTGAAAATGCATGAACTATCCGCTGGTGTTTTGCCGGTAAGTAATGATCGTGAATATAAACAGAGTTTTCAGAACATATCTAATAATTATTCCACATATTAAATATTTCTAATTTTATTCCTAATTAATTTTAATTTTTTTTTAGCGTATGAAGTCTGGCGAGTACATAGATAGTCCTGTCCTTCAATTACTGACCAGTAAAAGCCATGCATCCGTTCCTGATAAACGCATCTGTCTACTTCTTTCGGATGGGGTATATTTCGACAAAGATGTGAAGTTGACCGCAGACTTGAATAACATATATGATGTGGGAAAATTATCCAATTTCAGTGTTCTTAGAGTGGACGAATACAAAATAGCGGACAAGTAAGTAGCAAAAGTAGAGTTTTTCAGTGTAAAACATAAACCCAATAGATAATACACAAATCTGAAGCCGAAATCTTGCAGTCGATATTGAAAAAATTCGATCGAAATGAATTGGTCTGTGCTCATTTTAGATCAAATTGCGGTAGAAATAACTATTGATTAAAACTAACAGTTGGTTTACATATAAATGGTAATTGGTTTAAAATAGCCATATCCTCTTAAATCCTTCTCTTAAAGTAGGTTAACCCTACAAAAAGTTTTAACATAAGCATGACATAATTTACAATATTTACCGGAAATTCTCTCGATATTCAAGGAAAGAATTTGGCCCCCGCTCTATTAAAATAACATAATGTTGCCATGGCCTCTACCAATAAGACAAAAAAAGATTAATGGAAATGTAGTATGGAATATTGTTCCTGTCCCAGTATTAAGTGTTCCAATGAGGCAACCTCAAATATCCAGAATTTCCAATTTATTAAATTATCTTCAAAAGAGTTTTTAAATGTGATGTATATTACATTATATTCTATCCGCTGACAGCCAAATTACAACCAATTTTGATTGGGACATTTGTCTATCGATTACTATTCAAGCCGACGTTTTATTCAAAGTGGAAAATTGCATTTGTTTTTCCCATCAATTCTGAAAAATGTAGTTAGTTACCTGTGTTTTTTTTATATTTGATATTTATAAGAAATGTAGGTGCCTACAAACTTATCAAAGATAAACATGAAAATGTAAAACAAAATGTCGTTTTATGCTGTACTACACAGTTAAGTGCACAACATAAACTAAAATGTAAATATTTAACCTGAGATGTGTTTGTGTAATAAACCGGACATCATACAAAATAACACAAAAGTACAGTGCACAATAATATACAGCAAATGTCATGGGTTCATAAATGCAATATTTTTGTGGACAACAGTTTGTGTTCATAATTACTTCTGTAGTGTTTCAGTTGTGCTGCGATGTTCATTATGTAGCACATACATATGTGTGTAATTAGGTTTCGGAGAAAAACAAATACTAGTATCATGTATTCATGACGGAATAATGATGCCCATCACAAAAATATATTTCAGTTTATTTATGATTATTGTATATGTATATAAGATAAAGAATTTTGGGAACACTCTAAAACAGAACCATGAAACATGGCGCGCTTTTAAAAATTTGAATGTTTGAATTACATAAATAATCACAAATTACAAACATTACATTGACGCACGTCGAACGGAACCATAAAAATTGTTAAGCCTTAAGGTCATGGTTTATCAGCAGGTCACGCAGAATGGCCTGATGAGTGATTTCGAAATACTTTTTGATACTTTTGATTTGATAAAAAAAGTGAAAGCGGATTCTGTGCGACATCAAGAGTGTTTTTGATTTTTGGAATGAAATCAGAAAATGTTTGTATTTATTTTTGGAACAATAGGTAGCATTTTCATTAAATTCTTCTATTCAAACCACGTTTCAGATTAATAAAAAAAGAATTTTGTGACATCAAAATTGATTTCATGCTCAGTTTTTAGTTTCATTATTGCTTTAGATCTCATAAATTTTTACACTACATAACTTTTCGAATTTGTTTCAAAATCATTCCCAATTTTTATTTCCCAGGAATATGCTGATTATTTGTAAAATGACAATTCTTACCCCTGGGCAAGAAACAAATGGAAAAATTGGCGAACCTATTGATTGCAACAATGCCTTGACTTTAATTGCTTCCACAAATGTCGAACCAGATCACACTGCTGCTTTAACAAGTGGTGCCCTCTTGGTTAGTATTGCTGAAATGCCTTAACATATAAGTTCACTGTGACCCAATCTACTTGTCTTTTTTTTATTTTTCTTTAGAGTATGATGTCTGGTAAAAACATAACTAGACCCGTTCTTCAAATACTGGATTCGAAACTTATATGCGATGGGCGTGATGAGCGTATCCGTTTATCAGTTTCGGATGGTAGATTTTTCCATACTTATACTTGGTTAAGCTCGACATTGAAAAACATGTACCATGAGGGAATATTATCGGATTTCTGCATTGTTAGCTTGGACGAATACTTAATAACAAGTGCCGGTACGATAACAAACCGTAGGTAAGTATTGTTGAAATTTGATTTTTATTTTATAATGGGTTATTCCTATTTATAGTAGTTTTGAAAAACGTATTTTTGTGCACTGCTGAAAAATATTTTTAACTCTGACTTACGTCTTAAGTCTCAGGTTTAAGTGTTATGCCTAGTTCCATATGTTCTGTTCGCTTTTTAAGCGATATGTGATTTTTACAGAAACAGAAATGGCCATTACGCATATAAACATTGATGAGAAACCACATCTACATCGAATATTCCTTTCCTACCAGCCAGGCATAAAGAAGAGCTTACGAACTTGACTACATCGACTCCAAATGTCATAAATATTTAAATATTTCGTCCATACAGGGTGAGATAAAAAACTGCAACAAAGTCAAACGCCATAATTTTTAAATATTATTGAATGAAAGCTAAAAATGTCGGAAATAAAATCAAATTTAAGAATAAGTTTAGATTTGGAACCGTCCCACACTGCCCGAATGTTGCTCTGCGGTATTTTGGCTAATTCCCGGCGAAGCGCTTGCTTGACACCTTTGGTATTTTTTAGTGCCAACCTTGCTTTCGAAAATACTCCAAACACAATAGTCCAACGGATTGATATCCGGAGATTTTGGGGGCCATTGTGCGCTGAAAATGAATTGAGGAACCTCATTTTGTAACCATTCTTGGGTGGCACGTGCTGAGTCCTGTTGGAATGTGCAAGGTCTGCGAACGAAATGTTCGTGTGCCCAAGGTTTTAATACACCCTCCAGAATATTATCGCGACACTATTCGACATTTATTCTGATGCCACGTTCGATTAATACGAGCGGAGAGCGATCATCGGCTGTTATGGCGGCCCACACCATCACCATGGCCGGCGCTTGAGTTCTGGTGGCCAACCGAAGGTGCACATTTGGCAAGTAAACACTATCATTTTGTTTATTTACAAACAGCTGGAAAACGAATATTTTCTCATCGGAGAAAACCAAATTCGGCAGTTCACCACTTTCGGTCAAGCGAAGCAACTCTCTTTTGAGTCTATTTTCTTTCTGTTGCGGTGTTAGTTCTTGCACTTTTTGGAATTTAAATGGCTTTCCCCGTGCACATTTTTCAATATTTGCCGAATGAAATGTTGCGATATGTTCAGCTCACGAGCCTCTTTTCGGCCACTGCGTGGGTTTCCATCAAGTCGCTTCTTTACTTTTCGAACCATTTCTGCTGATGTTGCTGTTTTCTTCCGTCCATTTCCTTGACGTCGGGCTACGCTACCTACGGTAACGAGCGATGGTACGAAACACAAAAGATTTATTCACAATTAAAGGTTGGAGTGCTCCAACGATAGCCACTTGTGGTTTTCCAGCCAAATATAAAGAAATCACACTTTCACACTTGAATTCCATCACGAATAACTTATTTTTCTGGAAAATTCTCACCAAAATGTTTTTGTACGCACAGCTACACGAGAGTCGGCAACGTCTTCTATTGGATACCTTTTTGGTCTCCTACCTTGTGTTCGTCCTAGGTAGAATATTTTTGTTGGTGGTAGGAAAGATATTGAAGCGAAAATGATAAGTAAGAGTTTATAAAGAGAATTATAGTTAGCAAATCGGTCTGCATACCCAGGAAAAGCTTTTAGAAAACTTGTAGATAATGATGAAATCTATGACTGAGAAGAACGTTAGAGTTTATATCTGCAAGCTGCCAAATAATCTATGCCTCTTGTTGAATAGCATGGGATATTTGCATAATAGGTGTCTAATCGCTATGGCAGTAAGCACTCTTAGATTAGACGTACTAAGACGTAAAATGTATTTTACTCTTATTCTCGATATTAACGAATAGATGGCTTTGCAACTGGTTTCCAAGTGTCATCTTCTTCGAACTTCTTTGATTAAAGACTTTTTGAAGCAGCAGTATCATCAATCGGAGTCTCCCATCTCGAGCTAATTCATCAGCTACCACCACTATTTTGTTATGTCTTGCAACCCATAAAACTTAATGACTACGTATTTCAAGGAGGATTTTCTTTATTTATAGGGAGACTCTTATGATTTTAAAAATGAGTCTTCTTGTACCTGGAGACCAAGTGAAGGTGAAAATTGGCGAACCTGTAGTTTTGGAACCATCTGTTACCACACGTGTCAAATCTACCATTCCTACGCTGACAACTGGTGCTTTACCGGTAAGTATTTCTCAGACACTTCAACCAAATATGTATAAACTATAAATATTATTTAGTTTAGTTTATTTCATACAAGTAATGCAAGAAGCCGTATTTAGCCGAAAATATACATTTATTGGACAAATCTAATGATATCCACATATCTAATTTTTCTAAATTTATCCACGACTTACACCAAATTGTGTGAATTACAACCCGAATACTAATTAATTTTACTTTTTTTTAGCGTATGAAGTCTGGCGAATACCTAGATGGTCCTGTACTTCAATTACTGACCAGTAAAAGCCATGGATCCGGTCCTGATAAACGCATCCGTCTATTTCTTTCGGATGGTGTTTATTTCGACAAAGATGCGAAGTTGGCCACAGACTTGATTAACATATATGATGTGGGAAAATTATCCAATTTCAGCATTCTTAGAGTGGACGAATACAAAATAGCGGACAAGTAAGTAGCAAAAATAGAGTTTTTCAGTGTAAAACATAAACCCAATATATAAGACAAATCTGAGGTCGAAATCTTGCATTTGATATTGAAAAAATTCGATCAGAATGAATTTTTCTGTGCTCATTTTAGATCAATAAAAAGTAAATTTTGGTAGAAATATCTATTGATTAAAACTAACAGTTCATTTACGTATAAATGGGTTAACCCACGACATTTGGATTAAAATAGCCATATCCATTATTTATACTTTAAATAAATCCTCTTAAAGTAGGTTAACCCTACAAAAAGTTTTAACAACAACATGACATATGATACAATATTTAGCGGACATTTTTTTCGATATTCAAGGAAAGAATTTGGTCTCCGTTCTATTAAAATAACATAATGTTTCCATGGCCTCTACCAATAAGGCAACAACATTTATGGAAATTTAGTATGGAATATTGTTCCTGTTCCATTATTGAGTGTTCCAACGAGTCAAGCCCAAATATCAAGTATTTCCAATTGATTAAATGATCTTCAAATTAGCAATAATGAGGAGTTTTGATATTTGGGACTATTTTTAAATGTGATGTATATTACATTATATTCTATCCGTTGACAGCCAAATTACAACCAATTTTGATAGGGACATCTTTGTCTTTCGATTACTATTCAAATCGGCTTTCTGAAAAATGTGTGTTTTTTTAATATTTATTTATTATTATTTTTAATGTTTATTTCTATAGAATATGTAGGTGCCTTCAAACGTATTAAAGATAAAAATGAAAATGTAAAACAAAATGTCGGTTTATGCTGTACTACTCAGTTCAGTGCACAACCATGGTAGAAAAATATTGATAACAGCAAGTGTTGTTGTACAACAATCGCAACAAGAACCACATACAAATTTGTTTTTGTACGTAATACAAGTGTCAGAGTTATGTGTCCAAAAATGTAAACAAAATAATTAATTTTTAATAAATTATTTAAATTTAAAAAATATACATTTTTGGAATTTGAATTGTTAAATTGAAAATGCAGAAGAATAGTTCTTAAAATATTTAATTTTAATGCTTTCACATCAGCTGTTGGTCCTAATCTCTCAACATTTCAAGCAATCGCTAGAAAATCGTGGAAAAAGCAACATCACTTTCAAATTGAAAGCAAACTGCATACCCACATAAAGTATACTACATTTTGCAATTTTGGAAAACATGAAATATACGAATATATTATCTAACGTGGTGTCGCAGTTCCTTAACCGCAAAAAAAGTTTAGGAACCATCGCCTTTAGCGTTTTGTTTAGTACAACAACGATTTTTTCTATTATTAGGCAAAAACTATGTTCACACTGCTCTGCCGTTAAATTTTTATATCAAACAAGTAAGCAAGGGCTATAGTCGTGCGGGGCCGACTATGTTATAGCCTACAACACTACAATATGTTAGAAGCCCCCTTATGTCCAAATCCATATTGGAAGATTTCGCTTTTGAAATTAGGATTTTGACTAGGGACATTTGCCCAATATTTACGCACTTCGTAATGCTGTTAGTTGTTGTGGTCCATATTACAGCTAAATATAATCCAATGGTCATCCAAAATGCTAGAATTCTACCCTGTCCTTAACTCTCTTCACAGGCGGTTCGATGGGCTTCAATTGTGTGATCGGAAAAACATTTCTGTTGTTGGTTAATTTGAACCCCTAAATATTTTGCAATCATCTCCAAAAGCAAGAAGCCCCTCCGTATCTCCAAATTTAGACTCATCTATATGATTTGCTTGTCTACGATATTTGACTACATTCGTCAACGAAATCAGCATAAAAAAGCCAGAAGTTCACCTTTTGTGTATGTCGGATATCGCCTGTAAGTAATGCTGGTATTTTTTCACGCAAAATTAGTTGTCCATTGTACCCGATGTCCTAAACTCTAACTTTATGCGAGATTTCGTGTCCATTGGTTTCTATTTGTGACCTTTATAACGGCAGCAAAATCAGGAAAATTTTTAGTTGTTGGTCCATTTCAACCCCTAATATAATGCGGACATCTTTGAAAACAATAGGCCTAGCCCTTCTAAGCCCCAACCTGTGTTGTAAGGTGAAAAAATATTACAAAATATTATAAGTCAAATTGAAAAAATCGCATGCGATAAAAAATATGAAAAAATAAAAATATTTCACAAAATACTACAAAATCTTAATTAACAACATTATTTGCATATTTTTCTGCGGTTTTTTTATTCTTTATACTTTTATGTCAAGAGGGCATTCTGAATTGACAAAATTTGTCAAAACCGGTCCAGCCATTCTTGAGATACAAGCATTCTAACTAACATCACCTTCCTTTGTATATACACATTGTATATATTTCGCTATATATAACCGATATATTTACTATCGGCATCTACGTAACGGTCAGAATTGACCTGTCCGTCTATTTGTGATTTCGCCGGGATAAAAAATATTCGCGGTTTAATGGAAAATTTGACTTTTATTTAACGCAAAAGTTGTGGCCTATCTCACCCACTAAATATTATCCGATAACCATTAAAATCGGAAGGCTTCTTCCCAGCCCTATGATCTAGCCCCATGCTAACTTCCACTTTGATTGGTCTATAATTGCGACCTGTAGAGCAACTGCAAAATCAGGATTTTTCAGTTTTTGGTCCATTTCAACCCCTAAATATTATGTATTCTGACCCTAGCCCCACTTCCATTCTAAATTTCGTAAAGATCGGACCATAATTACGACCTGTAGAGTGATTACAAATTAACATGGACAGACGGACATACATAGTTAGATCGACTCAGCTCCGCGAGATAGGAAGATCCATATATACTTTCCTCTGTGGGGAACCAATATTTCGTGGTGTTACATAATTTTTGGCCCAATCAAACTTATAATACCTCCAACACATAGTGTTGAAGGGTATAAAAAGTATACCCCTTTTATATGGTAAAATTAAGAATATACCCATGGTAAAATTAAGAAGGTAAAGTCATTTCAAATAAGCATTCCCATCTTTGCATTTTCTGTAATTTACCTTGTCAAATTTTACTGCATAGAAAGCAGGTTACCATCTCCGATTTGTGTATGTACAATGGGTTTATAAATAAACATTTGTCATTGTCAAATAATTATTTATGATTATTGTAAATGTATACAAAATTCTTGGGAACAGTCTAAAATAGAACCATGAAACATGGCTCGCTTTATTTCAAGGCAATTAATTATGTTATAGGAATAAGCTATTCCATGCGCTAAACATTTTAAAAATTCTAATGTCTTAAAACTATAAATAATCACAATTTACAAACATTACATTGATACAAGTCGGGCAGAAACATAAACCTTTTTAAGCCTATGGTCTATCAGCAGGTCACGCAGAATGGCCTGATGAGTGATTTCGAAATACTTTTTGATACATTAGATTTGATATAAAATTGAAAGGGTACAAATCCTGTGCGACTTATTTTCGAATTATGTTCATGCTCAGTTTTTAGTTTCATTATTGTTTTAGATCTGCTAAATTTTTACACTATGTAACCCGATTTTTAATTCCCAGGAATATGCTAATTATTTGTAAAATGACAATTCTTACCCCTGGGCAAGAAATAAATGAAAGGATTGGCGAACCTATTGATTGCAACAATGCCTTGGCTTTAATTGCGTTGACAAATGTCGAACCACATCACACTGCTCTAACAAGTGGTGCCCTCTTGGTAAGTATTGCTGAAATGTGTTAACATGTAAGTTCACTGTGACCTAATCTACTTGTTTTTTTTTTTAATTTTCTTTAGAGTATGATGTCTGGTAAAAACATAACTAGACCCGTTCTTCAAATACTGGGTTCGAAACTTATATTAAATGGGCGTGATGAGCGTATCCGTTTATTAGTTTCGGATGGTAGATTTTACCAGAGTTATACTTTGTTAAGCTCGCCATTGAAAAACATGTACCATGAGGGAATATTATCGGATTTCTGCATTGTTAGGTTGGACGAATACTTTGTATCAAGAGTCGTTACGACACCAAAACGTCAGTAAGTAGCATTTATTTTGTTGAAATTTGATTTTTATTTCATAATGGATTTTTCCTATTTATAGTAGTTTTGAAAAATGTATTTTTGTACATTGCTGAAAAATATATTTAACTCTATAAGACGAAAGGCTGGAAATACATAAAGAGCATATTTGGCTGGCTTAAGTCATCGCCTGGCTACTTCGATGAACAAAGGAGTTTTAGGTTGCCTTATTTCGATTTTGGCCCCAGCCGATGACTTAAGCCAGCCAGATAAGCGTTTTATGTATTTCCACCTTAAGCCTCAGGTTTAAGTGTCATGTCTAGTTTGACATAAATACAAAATCGTTCCATATGTTCCGTTCTCTTTTTAAGCAATATGTGATTTTTATAGAATATGGCCATTACGGACAGGAACATTGATGAGAAACCACATCTACATCGAATATTTCTTTCCTACCAGCCAGGCATAAAAAAGAGCTTACGAACTTCTTGACCAGATCGACTCCAAATGTCGTAAATATTTAAAGATTTTGTCCATAAATTATAAACCCATGCAAAGGCTCTGTCCTCGTCAATTCTGTAGTTGTTCAGCTGTTCTGTTCTGTTCGCTTTTTAAGCGATATGTGATTTTTATAGAAAATGGCCATTACGGACAGGAATATTGATGAGAAACCACATCTACATCGAATATTCCTTTCCTACCAGCCAGGCATAAAAAAGAGCTTACGAACTTCTTGACTAGATCGACTCCAAATGTCGTAAATATTTAAAGATTTTGTCCTCTAACTTCCGAACGAAATGAAGTAGGTTGATAAAATTTTACTCAAATGTGTATTATGTCTGCTGGACTTTTGGTATTGAAAATGGATGATTTAGATCGTTTGGGATAGCCCCATATAATGGTACCTCCCTTTTTTCTGTATTTTGGTGATTTAAGCGACTTAATTCACCAGAAATGTTTCAAATTTGGTATTCGAAGTTTGTAATGGTTACTACAGCCTATGACAGAAAATTGTGTGTGCAGGTCCACGATAGCCCCCATATAACGGTACCTCACGATATTCGCTATTTTGATGATTTTAGCGGCATTATTTCCCGGAATTGTTTGGTATTTGAAGTTCGTAACGGATGCTACAGCCTATGACAGGAAATTATCTGTGCAAGTCCACGTCTTCATATAGCCCCCATATAACGGTACCTCCCGATATTCGGTATTTTGATAATTTTAGCGACATTATTCACCGGAATTGTTTCAAATGTGGTATTTGAAGTTCATAATGGGTACTACAGCCTATGACAGAATCTGGTCTGTGCAGGTCCACGTCTTCGTATAGCCCCAATATAACGGTACCTCTCTATATTCGGAATTTTGATGATTTTAGCTGCATTATTCACCGAATTTTTTATTCAAGTTTTGCTTTTGGATATTGTAATGGTTTATGGCAAAATCTGCCTATGCAGGTCCACGTTGTTGTATAGACCCTAATATAACGGCTACATTCGGTATTTTTAAGATTTTAACAGAATTTTCAAGGATTTTTTTTTGAAAATTGCCAAAATCGTCCCAAATGGTGGATCGGCATGGCCGAACTTACAGCTTTTCTACTTGTTTAGTGTACATACTAACTTGTTTATCAACCAGAGTAATATTTAGATTATATGCATGGTAACCATGGCTTTAGTCTTGAACGGATGCAATGTCAATGAATTTTCAAGACACCACTGATTAATATAAACAAGACGATTATAAATGTCACTTTCCAAAGCAATGGGAAAAATATTTGCATCGATTTCGTTAAAGGATGCATTGGTTACCCTTGTTGTCCTACCTTGTGTTCGTCCTAGGTAGAATAGATTTGTTGGCGATCGGAGAGACTTAGAAACGAATAAGATAAGTAAGGGTTTTAGGGAGAAGTATAGTTAGCAATGTGGTCTACGTACCCAGGGAACGCTTTTAGCAAACTTGTAGATAATGATGAAATCTATGACTGAGAAGAACGTTAAGGGCTAAGTACATAAGAAGCTTGAAGTCATGGCTAGGCATATTTTGTGACATTTCACAAAGGGATTACAGAGCCGCACTAAAATCCAGCCGTCGTTTTCCATTATAATTTGACATTAATATGCCTAGCCATGACTTCAAGCTTCTTATGTACTTAGCCCTTTAGAGTTAATATCTGCCAGCTGCCAAAAAAAAAAAAAAAAAATCTATGCCTCTTGTTGAATAACATAGGATATTTGCATAGTAGGTGTTTTATCGCTACGGCAGTAGGCACTCTTAGATCAGACATACTAAGTCGTAAAAGGTATTTTATTCTTATTCTCGATACGGCCTTGCAACTGGTTTACAAGAGTCATCTTCTTCGAACTTCTTCGATTAAAGACTTTTTGAAGCAGCAGTCTCATCAATCGAAGTCTCCCATCTCGAGCTAATTCATCAGCTACCACCACTATTTTGCTATGTCCTGGAAACCAACAAAACTTAATGACTTTAAGTATTTCAAGGAGGATTTTCTTTCTTTATAGGGACGTTCTTATAATTTTGGAAATGAGACTTCTTGTACCTGGAGACCAAGTGAAGGTGAAAATTGGCGAACCTGTTGTTCTGGAACCATCCATTACCACAAATGTCAAATCTACAATTCGTACGCTGACAACTGGTGCTATAGCGGTAAGTATTTCTCAGACACTTAAACCGAATATTTATAAACTATGAATATTATATAATTTTACAGGACATAAGGGCAGGTATAAAGAATAACAATCCAGTTTTGAAAATTGTAGGCGCAAAAGTTAGAAAAATTGGAGATATTGAACAAATCTGTTTAGAAGTTTCGGATGGTAAATACTTTGAAAGCAATGTACTCGTTTCTATCGGTTTAAATTACTTGTTCTATGCCGGCAAATTGTCGAAAAACACCATTATAAAGCTAGACGAATATATGTATCACACCAATTACCAGAGGTATGTACCATTGTCGTTTTTTATTTTATATTTGCTTAAAATAATTATATAAGTTTCGAAATGATGTTTTCCCCCGATTCAATTGTGTTGATATGATCTTTTCTTATAGCCCTACATTCTTGATTTTAAAAATGACTATACTTGCCGCTGGCGACAAGGTGAAAAAGCCAGCACGCACTGCTATGCATTATATAGAGGATTTAACCAAAGAGACAACCCCAATGACTAACTTGCCTGAACTTTGTACAGGATACCTGCCGGTAAATATTGATATATTCAAAACTGCCAAAAAAATGGAAAAATAATTATGACTTTTTAGATTATTATGTGTGGTCTTAACTCCAATATCTACCCAGTTATTCAAATTTTGAAAGCTGAAATCGTAATGTGTGCAGGCGCCGAACGTATTCGTTTGTTAATTTCAGATGGCAAATTCACTAATAGCAATACGTTGTTGTGCGAAGATTTAAATTTCATTTACCATGAGGGAAAATTAAGCAACAATGCTATTGTTAAGGTTAACAAATATCTTATGATTGCACTTAACCACGATCGAAAGTAAGTATTGCTGCTGATGTTATTAACATTACAATTTGTCTATTGTTGACATACCATGTTTCTAATCTACGTACTGAGCCACTACTAGCTGGAAAGGTTTATAATATTTTATATTTTTACATTTCATTCCTGATATTATATAAAAAAATACGTAGAAATGGTTTAAACTGAAATGTACACATCTTATTTGGCTACATATAGATTACATCAGGATCTATTAACATTTATTAATTTATCAATTTACATTATTTAAATTTACATTAATTTTTTTAAGAACAGAAATTATAAGAAATGACAAACAGCATTTGTCATTAACTGTCTTTAAAATTTTTGCATAGAGGGTGAGATAAAAAAACTGCAACAAGTCAAACGCCATAATTTTTACATTTGTTTTTAATTTTTATTGAATAAGCGAAAAAATTTCGGAAATAGCATCATTCTAGAATAAGTTTAGATTTGTTCGAATTATGGCCTTCAAACGGCCAATGAAACCGTCACACGCTGCCCGAATGTTGCTCTGCGGTATTTTGGCCATTCCCAGCGAAGCGCTTGCTTGAGGTGATCGACACTTTGGTATTTTTTAGTGCCAACCTTGCTTCCAAAATACTCCAGATACAATAGTCCAACGGAAATGAAGCGAGGAACCTCATGTTGTAACCATTCTTGGGTGGCGGGTGCTGACTGCGATGGTGCTGAGTACTATTGAAATGTCCAAGGTCTGCGGCCAAAATGTTTGCGTGCCCAAGGCTTTAATACACCCTTCAGAATATTTTCGCGATAATATTCGGCATTTATTCTGATGCCACGGTCGATTAATACGAGCGGAGACCGACCATCGGTTTTTATCACGGCCTACACCATTACCATGGCCGTCTCTTGAGTTCTGGTGGCCAACCGAAGGTGCACATTTTCAGCTGACCTCTTTGGCAATTAAACACGATCATTTTGTTTGTTTACAAACTGCTGGACAACGAATGTTTTCTCATCAGAGAGGGAAAAAACCAAATTCGGCAGTTCAACACTTTCGGCCAAGCGAAGCAAGTCTTTAGCTCTTTTGAGTCTATTTTTTCTGTTGCAGTGTAAGTTCTTGCACGTTTGGAATTTCTATGGCTTTACCCCGAGCTCATTTTTCAATATTTGCCGAATGGAATATTGCGATATGTTCAGCTCACGAGCCATTTTTGAAGTTGGTTTCGATCAAGTCGCTTCTTTACTTTTCGAACCATTTCTGCTGATGTTGCTGTATTCTTCCGTCCACTTCCTTGACGTCGGGCTACGCTACCAGTATCACGGTAATGAGCGATAGTACGAGACACAAAAGATTTATTCACATTTAAATACGGAGTGCTCTAACGATGGCCACTTGTGGTTTTCCAGCCAAATATAAAGAAATCACACTATCACGCTATCACGAATAACTTTTACTTTGGAAAATTCTCATCAAAATGCTTTTGTACTTTTGTAAACAATATAAAGAGTTTTCACTGGAATAATTTTAACAGCTGTCGGACAGCAGTCTGAAGTTGGTTGCAGTTTTTTTCATCTCACCCTGTATTCCTCCTCATGTACCTTTAACCAAAATTTAAAAAGCTAGGAGATCATGCCCATATTTGCTTCTAATTTTTTAAATTTCCCACAGTGGATGACATAACAGTAACATTACGTTTATATATATGAGGTTTAACCCACTGGATTTGGATTTAAATTGTCATATCCATTACTTTTACTTCAAATATATCCTCTCAAAGTAGGTTAACCCTACAAAAAGTTCTAACGTAAACATGGCATAAGATTGGGACAAAATTATCGCATTTATTCATGTACGATCCATTGAAACAAGTTTTCCGTTTAATATTAGGGAGCCCTACATCTAGCCTCATCAAAGACATAGAAGTATAAAGATGGGACAAGACAGAGTCAAAATATTGTCACCAGGTTTAAATACCTCATAACAACATACTCACCAATGTTAAAGGAATTTAACAGCAAATGCAATTTTCAATTAATTGAAAACGTCAAGGAATGCAATTTTTAGTCCAAATTTTTGGTTTACAGAAAATGTTATTCTTAAAATTGCTCTGTAAATATGATTTTTATGCCAACATGTCACTGTTGTGAGCAGCGCCCCTATATATTTTTCACATTAACTATTTTTCCATTATGCATTTTGTCCAGTCTTTACCATTTGAGGTCTTTGGCCTTATTTATTGATATTTCTTTTTTATTTCAGACAAACGGGCATACTTATTCAAGAGATGACCGTTCTCACTCCCGGACAACGTGTAAGTAAAATAGGCAATCCTATTGATTACAGAAGAGCAAACGAAGGTAATGAAACTGAAAGATCTGCTTCTGACCCCCAACAAAGAAATATATTTAGAAGTCTTAGAAACCTCAAATTTTATAATCTTCCGAGTGTTCTTCCCAAAACAAGGAGAAACAAACCAAAGACCGTAATAAAGTATAAATATCAAATCAAGAAGAACTTAAAGGCAATTGTCGATGGTGGACTTACATATGACCTTGGTGGCTTAAGGCCAAATGAGGACAAATGGACGCTAATCCTTTTGTTGTTGTATATGTATTCACATCAACGTCAACTCTTAATTGTCAAAAGCACATACAATTAAAAATGCCGTTTTTTTTATAGTTCGCCTCAAAAAAATCGAGACATAAAATTTCTTCCATAACTTTTATACAATTTATTATTATGCTATCTAGTTGTAAGGCATTTATTTTATTAAAAATAAATCCATTGAATAGAAATCAACTCGAAAAAATTTGTTTTTTTTATTTTTTAGATATGGTTTTTGGTAAAATATCAATACCAAAAAAGTTAAAATGTATTTAAGCATGGATAACAAAAAAACGATATTTATTATGATTGATGATTTGTAAAGAAAAACAACCAAAATTACATCAAACAAGTGAAAAAGCAGCTAAGTTCGAAAAAATTAAAAAAGTAGTCAAAAAATGTCGCTCAAATAACAACCTTTATATGGGGGCTATACAAAGACGTGGAGTGGATAAGTAATTTTTTGTCATATTCGAAACAATTCCGGTGAATAATGCCCCTAATATCATCAAAATAGCGAGTAAAGAGAGGTACCGCTGTAGGTGGGTATACTAAGACGTGGAACAGACCTGTAGTATCCATTACGAACTTTAAATATGAAATTTGGCGCAATTCTGGTGAATAATGTCGCGAAAATCCCAGAAATACTGAATATCTCGGGGTAGCGTTATATGGATGCTATACTAAAACTTAGACCTATATAGACAATTCTCTTCCAGGGGGTAAAGTACTCAGACGGAACTCCTTGTGTGTATTTTCAGACTTTTCCATTGAAAAATGTAGCTAAACTCATGAAAATACCGAATATCGGGGGGCACCATTGTATGTGGGTTATACGATATCGTGGACCTATATAGCAAAATTCTATTTCAGAGAATTCCTTGTGTAGAATTTCAGACAATGCCACTGAAAATGTGACTAAAATCATAAAAATACCAAATGTAGGGAGGAACAGTTATGTGGGGGATATATGATATCGTGAACCTATTCTCTTTCAGGGGATAAAATACTCAGAAGGAACTCCTTGTCAGGATTTTAATCTAATTCCGTTGCAAAATATGGCTAAATTCATTAAAATACCCAATATCGAGGGGCATCATTGCGTGCTTTGATATCGTGGGCCTAAATACACAATTCTTTTTCAGGGGGTAAAGTAGTCACGAAGAACTCCTTGTGTAGAATTTCAGACAATTCCATTGAAAAATGTGGTTAAAATCTGTAAAATACGAAATATCGGGTGTACCTTTATGTGGGGGCTATACGATACCGCTATTGCCCATCTTCGCTGATCAAGGATAAATTGATTGTAATGCAGAGCAAGCTAAATGCCATGGGTCAAGCATAAGCTCCCTTTGCAATCAGGCTGACTACCAAACGAAATGCGTTATTGTGATTGAAATACAGAAGAAAAGAAAAACGACAGGCAAAAATAGTGTAAACATGGTAGAAGAATATAGGTAGATGCATGGTACAATAAGGAGGCAGAACAGCTTCGTAAAACTACAGAAATACAGGCTATGCCCGCTTTCTGTCAAACTCATTCAAAATTTTATATTTTTATTTTTTAATACTTTCCTTTTAATGAGTCAAATAGCGCGAACAATGAATGAAATTACCGGATTTTCTCTCAAAATCATGATCCAAACTGTTCAATCTTTCAATTTCATGGCTAAGCTGGTTAATATCTTTAGAACATTGATATGTCACAATTTTTAAAATGTTTTAACAAAAATAAGCATATTTTCAAAATGTTTTCTTATACGACGCAAATCGGTGGTTGTTATAATATGAGTTTTTGAACAATTTTGGCAAATTTCAATAATTTTTATACAACATTTTCAATTCCAAAATCGGTTTGACAGTTCATTGTCCCAGCAGCTGTGTCGATGCGACTACCTGTATTCTCTACCATGATCTGGTTTTTAACATTTTCAGGAACACCTTGTTATTGCGTCACGCTAAATGCCATAACAAATGCTCTGTTCCAGAAGCTGCAAGAATCTACTAGTTCTGCAATTTTTTTCGATATCATAAAGAGAAAATCGGTTATAGTAGTAAAAACTTTTGCATTCTTGCATTTCTGGAACATTCCGAAAATGCGTAAGGCCTACATAAGGTCGCATGGCAGAAGAATACGGGTAGATGCATCAACGCTTGGGAGCATTGATATGTCAAAAAATTTAAATGTTTATTCCAATATAGGTAGATTTTTATATGTTTTCTTATACTACGTCATTCGGAGGACATTATAATTTGCGTTTTTCAACAATTTTTACAAATTTAAATAATTTTTCATTCAACATTTTCAATTCCAAAATTGGTTTGACAGTTCATTGTCCCAGCAGCTGCGTCGACGCGTCTACCTGTATTCTTCTACCAAGTAAGGTCGCAAGAAGACTACTTTTAACAACAATTTGACAACAAACTTAGTAGTTTTTGCACTATTGTGACTTAACTCTCTTTTAATTTAAACTTGGTTGTCAGCATGGTAGAAAAATACAGGTAGATGCATCAACGCTTGGGAACATTGATTGATATGTCAAAATTGTTTAAATATTTCTGCAAAAATAAGTACATTTGTCTATGTTTTACCACACAACGCCAATCGGAGGTTGTTATAATATGCATTTTTTAATAATTTTTACAAATTTGAGTAATTTTGCATTCAAAAATTTCGATTCCAAAATTGGTTTGACAGTTCATTGTCCCAGCAGCTGTGTCGAAGCGGGTACCTATATTCTTCTACCATGGTTGTCAGACGTACTTACTTACTTACTTACTTACTGGCCGACCTTTTATAGGCCACAGCATGGCAGAAGAATACAGGTAGATGCATCAACGCTTAGGAGCATTGATATGTCAAAAAAATTTAAATGTTTTTTAAATATAGTTAGATTTTTAAATGTTTTCTTAGTCTTATTATTTCGGAGGTTATTAAAATTCGTGTTTTTCAACAATTTTTAAAAATTTAAATAATTTTGCATTCAACATTTTTAATTCCAAAATTGGTTGTTACATTATCGATAACGATTAACAATAATCACCATGCCCCAAAGCGTTCCTTTTCATGTTGCCTTATTATCGCGCCATTGAAATGGCTGGATTTTCTTTTAAAATATGATTCAAACTGCTCCATATATTTTATTTCCTTGGCAAAACTGCCTAAGGTGTTTAAAGCTCGCCCAGCAATGTACGTTTCTTCCCATAATTTATTTGTATTTTATTTATTAAAACACAGACACAGTTTTATTCGATATCATAAATATCGGTTATCGTAGGAAAAACTATTACATTCTAGCAGTTCTGAAACATAGCAATTAATATACATACATGTGTTTTACTTGTTTGGCGAAATACGTCTACCATGGTAGAAGAATATAGGTAGACGCATCGACACAGCTGCTGGGACAATGAACTGTCAAACCAATTTTGGAATTGAAAATGTTGAATGAAAAATTATTTAACTTTGTAAAAATTGTTAAAAAAAGCGAATTATAATAACCTCCGAATGATGTCGTATAAGAAAAAATATAAAAATCTACTTATGTTTGAAAAAATATTTAAATTTTTTTTCTTCTGCCATGTACGTCTACCGAGAAACATTAGTTGTGTTCCAGTACTTTTTTAGTAGTAAAACTAGCAGAAGAGAGAACAGTTCGAAATGTCATTCTCATTTAGGTTTGCTCAGAAAATAAGGGAACGGAAAATTAGCAGAAATGCGATAAAATGTCAAAATTCAAAATTCCAAAAGTAAACAGCCTAAATCGGACTGGTGAAACCTTACTGAAAAGAGCTCCAACATTTAAAAAATGAGTATTGAAGACGATAAGTTAAAATAAATAATTTATAATAATAATTAATAATCTGATTCCTCATTCAGCCAGTCCTCTTCACTTTTCTCTTTTTGTTTTTTGCACGACAAATATTGGTTTTTCCTTTAGTTTTCAAGTTGATCATTTTCTTTATTGAAATGTATCAATACATTTTTCAGCCTTGTTAGCCCTGCCAATTAAATGTCAAATTTACAATATGCACATTTCTGCTCGGCCAAATTCATGTAGCTAAAACAAGCAGAAATGTGCACCACTCAGCGCCATTTTTTTCTCGAGAGAGCTGCAAGTTTTGCTAGTTTTTGGAGTACGGGAACACGTTGTAGCAGAATTAGTGCTAATTAGTACTAATTTGCAGGTTCTGGAACACAACTAATATCTTTTGTTTCGACCAAGTATGTCGAATTTTTGGTAACGCTATTATGCTGGTATATTCACACGCCTGTTTTACGCCACACGCCTTTCATGAAGGGTACTCATTTGTCATTCACATGAAATTTCCCAAATGATAACATCAACAATATATTCCCGCCTCATTTTCGTTTTGATGCAAAAAGTTTTGCAATTACAAGCAAGAAGCATACATTCTAAACAAAGGCGTCGAATTGATAAGTTGCAACATCTGCTGGTCTCAGAAAAAATTGCTGAAAAACAGTACGATAAAATAGATTTCATTTTTAACTGTCTCTTAAATTAATTTCAACAAATTTAACCATGCCCGGAATTCCTCCATTGTCAACTGGCGTTTTACCGGTAAGTATGGAAGGATTTACCCAAGTTGTGAAATGTAATGAATGCTTATTATTCTTTTAGCGCATGATGTCTGGTGAAGAAATTGAGGGTCCTGTTTTTCAAATAATGGGTGCTAAACGTATAAATAGCGGCGATTCAGAACGTGTCCGTCTATTGGTTTCGGATGGTACATATTTCAATAGTTATGCGATGATGGCTACCCAGTTAAACACGAAATATGCTGACGACCAATTAAAAGAATGGACCATTATTAGAGTGGACAAATACATAACATCTGTGGTCAATAAAAATGATGCCGGCAAGTAAGTTTATATGATATTTTATCAGCAGCCCGATATACATTATTTTTTATTACGCGATATAATTGTCTCATATTTGCGTATTATTTCTCGTTCCGAATGGACAAGATTTGCGTTTTCTTAATAGCTATTCTCTGCGAATAACTATAGATTGATGTAGAGGAATTTTTCAGGGTAACCATACAATAATCGCTTTACGGTTTTCATCAGATATTTCCAAAGCCTCTGTCAGTGGTGTTTCAATTTATGCCTTCTAAATGGTTATCCTGTGCGAATAACTATGAATTGATGTAGAATAATTCAGGGCAACTATTCCTTCATTAATCACTACGGATTCCATTAGATAGATGTCATTGGTATTTCAAACATGAAATGAAATCGCAACCCTTCTTAACAAATAAAATATTTTATTTAATTTATGATATGATAAATCGATTTTCTCTCAAAACGAGTTGAATTAGTTGCCATTATAAAGAATAATTATCCGCATATGTTTACAAATCTATTCAGTTTGATATGTCTTGACTCGTCTGCGGTTGGTTCTAATGTATTTTTCTTATTTCTTAAAGGCGAGTGTTGATCATTTTGGAAATGACTGTTCTTATGCCCGGCTCCCAAGTGAAGCATAAAATTGGTGAACCCGTTAATTATCAAGAAGCCATATCAAAAGGCGAAGTTTCAGCTGCAGCTCCTTCTCATAAAACTATTGAGAATAAACCTAAACCAATGTACACTAATCACAACAACAACAATCTGGATTCGACCATTAATTCAGGCCTTACACATCCCATCGCCAGTCTTAGTCCTTATCAAAATAAATGGGTTATAAAAGTTCGTGTAACCTGCAAGTCCCCGCTACGTACTTGGAGCAATGCCAAAGGTGAAGGTAAACTATTCAGCATTGATTTAATGGATGAATCCGGTGAAATACGTGCGACTGCATTTCGCGAGCAATGCGATAAATTTTATGATATGATAGAGGTCGACAAACTCTACTACATCTCCAAGTGCCAATTGAAGCCAGCAAATAAACAGTACTCTACATTAAAGAACGATTATGAAATGACATTTACCAGTGACACTGTGGTCCAACCTTGCGAAGATGATGATGATGGTGGAGTACCTGTTGTTAAATACGATTTGGTTCCTATATCTCAGGTTGCAAATATGGAGCCAAAAGCTGCTGTAGATATTGTTGGCGTTTGCAAGGAAGTTGGAGAATTACAGGCCTTTACCTCACGTACCACCAACAAGGAGTTTAAGAAACGGGATTTGACTTTGGTAGATACCAGCGAGGCTGCTGTGACGGTAACCATATGGGGCGATGAAGCTGTTAATTTTGATGGACACGTACAACCGGTAGTTTTGGTAAAAGGCGGCCGGATCAACGAATTCAATGGCGGCAAATCTGTTAGCGTTGGTAATGGTTCGGTTTTGAAAATAAATCCCGACATACCCGAAGGTCATAAGCTCCGTGGTTGGTTTGATAATGGTGGCGGAGCCAACATTACCAATTCCGTTTCAGCCAGGTACGAATCCATATCATTTCTCATTTGTTTTTGTCGTAACTAAAATTAAATATTTCCATTAGAACTGGAGCTGGAGGTGGCTACAGCACTGAATGGCGTACATTCTACGAAGCCCGTAATTTGGGCACAGGAGATAAAGCGGATTATTTCCAAACTAAAGCTGTTGTACATTTGATTAAAAGCAATAACGCCTACTACAAAGCTTGCCCACAACCAGACTGTAATAAGAAGGTCATCGATGAACAAAACGGTCATTATCGCTGTGAAAGATGTAATGCCGATTTTACCAATTTTAAATATCGTCTCCTGGTCAATGTAAGTGTTGGTATATCTCGTTAATCATTTGTAGTTTCAACAAAGCAAATATTTTTTTTTTTCAGATGAGTATTGGTGACTGGACTTCCAATCGCTGGGTTACCTGTTTCAGTGATATGGGCGAACAGCTGTTGGGTCGTAGTGCCCAAGAAATTGGAGAAGCCTTGGAAAACAATCCCACAGAAGCTGAAGAAATTTTCACTTCAATAAATTTCCATTCATATGTTTTCAAACTGCGTTCCAAAGTCGAAACCTATGGGGTAAGTAGTAATTAAATTTTCATTCAATTACTAAAAAATAAATAAATATTTCGTTTCGTTTTTTTTCTAGGACATGAGTCGCAGTAAGTTGACCGTACAATCAGCTGCCCCTGTCAACTATAAAGAATATAACAAATATTTGATTGATAGTCTTAAAGAAATGACCGGTATTAATAAGGCTTAATTAGATTACGTTGTATTTAAGAATTATTTTGTTTATTTGCACATCATAGAATTTAGATTTTTATTGTTTACCTTATTTGTACACGTCGTTTATAGTAACATCCAAAATTTATACCTATTGTAATTAAAATTATTTACACCTACTTGGAGGCAACATGTTTGTGAATACATTGAAGCATTCATTAAAATTATTCCTATCTTTAATATTAAATTTGAAGTATTTTATTTGTGACAACCCTATTGTTGTCACAGAATGGGCAAAGTTGATTGCTGGATTTATTTTTGGAGACTGTAGTTGGTGATTGGGATTTTCTCCTTCCAAGTTCCCCAAATCTAACATAAAATTCTTTTCATATATGATTTTGTCTTGTTCTAAACAAAGTTCAATTGTGTGGTTATTTTACTTGGGGAAAATGTATGTACTCGGAAGGAGGTAAACAGGGAGATTAGAAACTCCCCAATAAATGTTGAGGTTAATACTTAAAGGGTTCGCAATCTAATGTCTTTATTTTTTTAACCAGTGCATATTTCGTGAAATGTAATACTTAAATCATGTCTGATTTGTAATATAATTAGTTTATCCTTCGAATGTGAACGTGTTAAAGAATGTGTACGAATTTGTGAAGATAAGAAACTATCATCAGCTTTGTATATAAACAGCGATATTGTCGTGTTTAGGGCACAGAAATCCCGACCGCATCCGTTGAAAAGCCGATGCAACCGAAACGAGACACTGTTTGGATCGGATTTTCCATTTTTCTTCGAAAATGAGTAAGGAGTGGCCGTTATAAATTGGTCGTCCTGGATTCAACAGAACGAAAAACGTAAATAGATAACCAACATTTTATGGAAAAGAAAAGTGAATTGCTTGGGATGTAATAGGATTGAAATGAAGTTCTCCGACCAAAAAAAACTAGAAAAACCTGTTAGGGGAAAAGGTAAAAACGACGGTTAGTTAGAATATTGCATTTTAACTAAATGGGTTGTCCTCTAAACCCTTGAAATGTAGATTTTATACCCTCCACCATTCTATGGAAGGTATATTAACTTTGTCATTCCGTTTGTAACTCCTCGAAATATTCATAATAGACCCTACAAAGTATATATATATATTCTGGATGAGCGTAAAATTCTAAGACTATCTGGCGATGTCGTATGTCTGTCTGGTGTAAACACGCTATCTTTCGAACGAATTGAGATAGAAGTCTAAAATTTTGCATACATGCTTAGTTTACCAGTAGGCAGGTAAAGTCTTAAATGGGCCACGTTGGTCCACGTTTTCGTATAGCCCCCATATAACGGTACCTCCCGATATTCGGTAATTTCATGATTTTAGCGGCATTATTATTTAAAATTTTGTATTTGAAGTTCGTAGTATAGCCTATGACAAAAATTTTTGAATGCAGGTCCAAGTCTTCGTATAGCTCCCCTATATAAGGGTACCTCCCGATATTCGTTTTTTTTGATGATTTCAGTAACATTATTCACCGGAATCGTTTCAAATTTCGTACTGGAAGATCCAAATGGGTACTACAGTCTATGGCAAAAAATTTTGTATGCAGATTCAAATCTTAGCATAGCCCACATATAACGGTACCTCCCGATATTCAGTATTTTCATGTTTTTATTTATTTCGAATTTCGTAATTGAAGTTCGCAATGGGCACTACAGCCTATGACAAACAACTACAGTCTATGACATAACGGTCTTCATTTAAATGGTAGTTTTCGGATTTTTATTTGAAATTTTTCAATTTCTTTCGAAATAGTGGAGGGTATTAAAAGTTCGGCCCGGCCGAACTTAGCTGCTTTTTTACTTGTTAACTTTTGCATCAATTGCTCTTGGTGTAACTGTAAATCTTTATTCAACCCACGTTGAGCCAGGATTTTTTTTGTTGAAAACTTAAATTTCTTTTATTGAATTTAGTTTTAATTCCTTTTTAAATTTTTTTCCTTAAACTCATAATTTTCCCGTAATTGGTTGTCTGTTTTTAAAGCGCAGTGGCAAAATCCACTACCACAAATACGTAGTCTTAACTTATATTAATACGCAGTAGTCGCGTAAGAATCATTCCCCGCTGATAAGGATGGCTTTTGGCAGATGTTAACAATTTTCTGTATTTTTTTTAATATTTCCCGCAGTGTAACTTAAACGTGGTTTACCGGTTCAAGGCATGTCTGTTACGATGCCAAGTTGGTGATGACGATCAATTATGCAACGAATCATTTCTTCTGAAGGCAAAATTCTGACATTAATACATCGACGATATGCATAAAATGATAGATCTCTGTAGTGCAATTCTATAATTAACGACAATTAATTCAACAACAATTAAAACTTTTTTTATTAAATAAACATTCTACTTTCGAAAGATACAGCATTTTGTCGGTAACTGCAAAAATTGGTGGAGATCCCACTACTGATTTAAATAATATAACTGTATTTTTTGAACAATTGCATAACTCACCATTGAAACACAATAAATAAAACCAAAATATATTTTTTAATGTTTATTTTTTTATTTGTTAAAATTAAAAACTATGATATTTTGAAGGTTATGAGTAGAACATGATTTGTTTGCTTTGTCCATTTGTTTTTCTTCTTTTTTGATTTTACTTTTAAAGATATCTCTTTATTTGTGTATGAGTGTATGTATCTGTAAATGTATGCATCTATTCAATTCGTTAAATATAAATTTATATAAGTATAAATTTATTATCTGACTAGTTTATATATCGATAATAACTTGCATATATGTTTTAAATATGTTATTGTATTAAAATTTTTTAATTCCATTTGTTTTAGTAAGAAATATAAACAGCACTCTAAATAATAACAGAAATTATCAGATGATTTTCTGATTAACAAAAACTAGAAATAAAATTAAAAAAAAAACATTAAATTTTTTAAATAAGGTAATATACAAATTCGAATGCCAAGGGGAGGGAGGCGTGATACAACAAAACTTACAGAATAATGTAAATATCTTATACAAAAAATATGTCTTATGTTTCATTTGCGCTTTTTTTTTTTTGTTTTAGCCCTAAGAGTATGCATAATTGTGTGCGTATGTATGCGTTTTTTAGCACTTTATTGTTGAAGATAATTTGTCTTACTAGTTCGTTTGTTTTGATTTGAAATATTCAAAAATTGTATTTATTTTTATTTTCTTTTGAAATGTTATTCTTATAAAATTATGTGTATAAACATTATTAAATTTTGTTGTTTTTTTTTTAAATATAGTTTATGTATTGCATGTTTGTTTGGTTATATAGTTTATTTCAATAAAGTAATGCCTGCATTGCACAAAGTTTTCAATTCTAAGGTAGTTTTTTTTTTTAATTTTTGAATGTTGTTTTTGCTTTTATTACGTATGTGGCTTTTGTTTTTCTTTTGCTATAAAAATGTGGTGTTTTTCGTTAACATGTTTGCAAAAAGATTTTCTTTTGCCGCATAATATATATTTTTTCCGATACGTCATTGGTTTCACAACATTGGTATTTTGATAATTGTTGCTGCGTTGTAAATTATTTTTTGTTTTATTTTAGGAATACACGTTTTGATTTGTTTCGTTTTTTATTCATATAAATAATTTGTTATTATTAAAAAAGAAAAAATAAATTTGTTGGCGCCTAGAAGCATGCTTCAATTTTGTCTCCTCAATAATACATTGTATAAAAGGTTCATCAAGTTCTTCATCGAAATAATCATTTCTGACCCAACAAAGTATATATATTCTTGATCAGCGTAAAATTCTAAGACTATTTAGCTTAGAATTTTTCGTCCGTCCTATGTAATTACGCCAGACTTTAAACCGCATGTGATAGAAATCAAGCATTTTGCGTTTTGCTATCTTTCGTCTGCAAACAGCATTTGATTTTAGCCATAATTTTTAAAGAAGCTGTTTAAAATTCGGTATTTAGATTCACCGGAAATGTTTCAAATTTGGTATTTGAGGTTCGTAATGGGTATTACAGCCTATGACAGAAAATTATCGGTGCATGTCCACGTTTTGTTATAGCCCCCATATAATAGTTCCTCCCTAAATTCGGTATTTCGATGATTTTTCACCGATTTTTTCAAGTTTTGCATTTGAATATTGTAGTGGTTTATGACAAAAGTTACCTATGCAGGTCCACGTCGTCGTATAGACACTAATATAACGGCTACATTCGGTATTTTTAAGATTTTAACAGAATTTTTAAGGGTTTTAATTTTTTTGAAAATATCCAAAATCGTTCCAAATGGTGGAGGGTATTCAAAGATAGGCCCGCTCGAGCTTACAGCTTTTTTACTTGTTTTTAAGTTACTTTTCAAGTGGTGAAGGGTCGGCCGAACTTAATTTCTTTTTTACTTGTTTAAGTTTACTTTATCAAAATTTTGACCATTTGTATGGAAGTTACCTCAAGGATATTGTATATTTGTATATGTACACTTGTCATTTTAAAAATTGGATAATCACTTTCTGTTGAAAATTTAGACGTTTTGTGTGAGAGGTACCATAAGGAGTGGACTTATATTGTCCATCTCATAACTCGATTTAAGTTTAACCATATTATACTGATGTACAAAATTTGGATAACCCCTTTGAGAATTCTTTTGCATATCAGCCAGTCGGACGAACACCTCTAGATCTATTCCTAATCTTCGAAAACAGAATTCGTCCTAAAAGATCTATGGTTTTACGTGGTACTTTTTGGCCGTATCAAATGACATTTAATAGTTTGGCACTTTTAAATTAAGATCATTTCTGACTCTCCTGGCTAGGTCCATTCAAAATTTCTTAAATCAATCATACCTTCGCTTCTATAAGAAGATATTCCTCATGATATATAGATCAGTTGGTGGTTTTGGTAATGAACTATTTTTACATGGACCAAATGACGATTGCACGATTGTAAGACGATGGCAAAGCAACATCTTAAATTACTTTTTACCACACGATGTGGTAGCAACAACGATACACAGCAACCGCCATATTACCCAGCAAGGATTGTTCACGTTACATGTAGCTCAAGTAGGATTTAGCTTGCATTTTTTTTTGCAAAAATCAGACATAATTTACAGAGATGTAAAACTACCTGGAATTTTTTTTGGAGATTTAGAATTGAATGAGACCGTCATAAGGGCGCTATGACCAAATGTAAAAATATTTTGAAACATTTTCAAGAGGTGGCTTCCCAACCATAGTTTTTTAAATTGCTTGGGCCATTAGAATATCTTATATCTGTGTCGTACTGTCATATGTGACAAACTTGTAAGATACTGGATTAAAATTTAAATAAAAACTAAAAAATATATATTTATTCATTACACAATTTGTATACATACAATGATTTATAAATTAAATTCAATAAATTAACTGTGACCCAGCACAAATTTAGACAGGCCTTGGTATTGACTTTTGATTTGGGTTTCCAAGGGAAATGGAAAAGCCTTTTATTGAAAATCGAATATGTTTTTGACGGCACAAACAAAATGAATTCTAAACTCCAAGAGCATAGTTCTTCAGAACAATTTCTTCTTTCTATGACTTAGTCAGAAAAGAACTATATATCAGTTCTTTTATAGCTTCAGATTGTGATCAACAAATTTCTGTTACGTTTAGTCCAACCATTCTAAGCGATTTGCAATTTGAAGGTGGGAAACTTGCAGACTTTTTAACGGCATGACCCATGCTATTCGACAAAAATTCCGCTTTACCTAATGAGTTATAGGAGTTTGGGGCAATGATTGCCTTAACAGATCCCAATCTTTCACCGAGTCATACAAAATTAGATTATCTAGATCAATAATAGATAAATCACATACAAATTGCAAATGAAAGTGGGTCCCTGTTGTTAGGCCCATATGGGGATATATCTAAATACAAAATGTGAAATTATAAGTTCTCTACATCTTGGGATTCCGCAACACATCTTACATTTCTCATTTGGAAGCATGTCATCGCTGGCCATAGCTAAAATCCGTTTGGGCATGGACATGTGAATGACGATGACAACTATGAGGCTGCGGCTGCTGTTGTTGTTGCTGTTGCTGTGGCTGCGTAGTAGTAGCATGAGGACTAAAAGCCATTGTGGCCGTATTGGTTGTCAGCGATTCCTGGGACTCCTGAGAAAAATATTCATGTGTATGAATTTCGGGCGGTTCAGTTGGTTGGTATTGCATCAAATGTGGCACAGCATAATCGTGTGAATCGTGACGCCTATGATGACAATGTCGAGCATGCTGCGGCTTATGGTGATGCGATTTACTCAAGTACGATTGCCTCTGACTACTGTCGAGCAGAGCAACGGAGCTACTGGTTTCCAGTGAACGTGTGGTACTGTTATCGTTGTTATACTGATAATGTTGATTATTTAAACTCAACAGAGATGTCGAAGTGGTACCCATCATTGCAAGATTATTTGTATTTCGATCGACTTTAAAGGAAAGGCCACATGAACAGTGTTCAATGTTGGAATTGAAATTGTTGGATATATCAAACATGGACGATGTTGTTGTTGTTGTGCTCTCCATTGTCGTTGTGGTCGGTAAGGAGGATGGTAAGGTGTACGAATGTTGTTTGGCGGCATAATTTAATTGTTGTTGTTGTTGATGAATTGAGGGTGGAGCATGAGTGTGTGCATGAGAATGATGGACATGGGAGTGTGAGGCGAATGCATTGTGTTGTTGTTGTTGTTGGAGAGTCTGAGATTGTGTTGTTGTTTTGTGATTTATATTTGCATGGTTAATGGATGATCCCTTTAAGTCATTGTAATGGTGATGATGCTGATGACTGGGTGAACCTACTGACGTATTATTGGTATTTGTGGTCATATTCATTGTCAACGATGTCATTGACTGAGAGGCATGCACCACCGCCTGTTCCGTGAACATGGTGCGCGTTGGTGGTGGCGAGGTGCTATTTGGCGTCGATGATGTCTCGGTATTTGTATTAAAGTCTATGCTAGATGTCGATGTTGGCGATTGATGATGGCAGCGACATATTGTAACTCAAAAAGTGTTGCCAAGTTCGTTATGAGTTTCGGTTTCTGTGTCGTCCAGGCTTGCTCTATTCGTCGTCGCCGATTGGGCTTTGTTGCCCAGGGCATTTGCCATAGTTGATTTGGGTGAGACATAGCCATCGTTGTTAGTGTGACCGTTTTGGGCATGAATATGACTATGGTGATGATGATGGTGCGGGTGTACATGCGGTGTTGTCGAGTTGGATGATGCCGTTGCTGTGTGTTGCAGTGTATTGGAATGAGTGTTGAGTGTCGAGGGTCCCTCCAATGAGGCCGATGAGGATGATTCATTCATTGCCGAGTTACCAATTATATTTAGGGATTTTGGTGGTATAGGTGGTGGAGGCATGGGTAAATCTTCCACATCAAAGGAACTTGAAGAGTTCTCTCGTTGCGTTGAACTTAAGCCACCGCCATTGTTGTGGCTGGATGAAATATATTGGCCATTTTCCATGCTTCCGCTGGAGGAGAGGCGACAGTGATCACGATGATGTACTGTGCTCATAGAATTGGTGGATGATTCCTCACTTAGATTATTTAAATGGTTCAACTCATGGGCGCTGGCTGTGGAAATTCCTGAATCACGAAAATCATTGGGGGCATACGACAGTGTAGACAAATGATGGTTATCAGAGGCATGACAATTCAGTGAATGTGCCAGTTGTTGTTGATCTGCCTCGGGATCATCGAAACTAATATCAACTACGGCATACTTTTGATTGTGTTGATGCGAAGTGGAATGTGGTCGCCTGGGCATACTTGAGACGGGTGACTCGCTAGAGAAATCATTGAAAATCATGGGATTGGAAGCCCTTTTGTCGGGAGTTATACCCCTTGGCGGTAGAGGCGGGGCTCCCGGTGAGCCTGGTGCCTGATGATTACGTTTTGGTGGCACTTCTGGTCCATCCATTGTAAGTGAATTGGAATTGGAAAAGTTTTGTGATCGGGGCCTATTTGGTATGGGTGGAGGACAGACTTCGGGATTTTCTTTGATTCCCGCTGCAACCTCCGAATGGCCAATGCTATTCGATAAATTCTCTTTGCTTAGTGTTTGATAAGAGTTCTGGGCACCAAATCTGTTCATGATTGATTCCACAGGTCTCAGAGTGTCTCCGGGTCTTGTGTAAATCTCATCGTGTTCGTAATAATTTGAAGCCGGTATAAGAGAAGTTGAGCCGGTGTTATTGCTGGCCAAACGTTTTTCTGTGGGCAATGGTGGTAGCGGTGTGTTAACTATACTCTCAGAGGCTTGGCGTTTTAATCGTCCCAGCCCTGAGAGGCTTTGTTTTAGCTGTGAAAAGCGTTCCAATAAACGATTATGCAACGGCTGTACTCCAGGCGGAGCCAATTGGCCATGTAATTCCAATGCTTGATCTAGAATTTGTATTTTCTCCAATATTAAAGCTTTCAACTTTTGTACATTGGCCTGTTGACCCTGACCCTGGGGTGACTTTAAAAATTGTTCCGTAAAGAATGCCTCTTGATACTTGCTAATACCGCCCATAACATTGGCATCTATGACGCCCTGTAAACGCATCGAAAACGGATTGATGTTACGCTTGGGATCTTGACGATATTGCTGTATCAAGTCCCAGATATCTTTGCCCACATTGTGCATAGTTTCACAGGCAAATTCGACGGGTGTCAATTCCTGCACCGACTTCTGTTTAACTTCAAACCAACGCAGTATGCCCGGCAATGGCGAGGCAATATCCAAGGTGGTACGTTCAATCCATAGGCTTTTGAATTCGTTGTCTTTGTCTACGGGACCCTTGTGGATGGGACGATCCGATATGAAACGACTCACGTCATTCACTTCATAAAAGCGAGCGATTTTTTCCGGCACCGTAACCATGGCTGTCTTCAGGGCCTGAGCATCGGCCACCGGTCGTACATTGCTTATTTGTATATACTGTTCGGGAGCCGATAAAATTGAATTATCCGGTGGACTATTTGTGTTGAGTGTTTGGGCAGCTGGAAATTCGGTTTGTAAACGTTGTGTAAATGCACTGATGCGTTCATATTCGAGGCCACGATAAACAAATTGTTTATTCTAAAAAGATATTACGATTTAGGGGTTTTAATTGAAAAAATTATAATTTGATGTTGCATTTACTTACCCTAACAAAAAGTGGAAAACCCAAACCATAGAAACCCACACGAAAATATTCCGGTTCGGGTCTTAGTTGAGTCAATATATTCTGAAAGAATTTAGCTTCCAATATCAGTATTTCACTTAGCTTGTTGTAATCGAAACGTTTCGTTTCGTAGAGTAGGGCCAGTTCCTTGCACAGTGGGATGCCCTTTTCCCAGCATTTGCCTTTGTCGAAGTATTTTAGAATCTAAAATAAAAATTGAAAAAACTTAATAAGGTTGAATATAAGTTAAAGAAACAATTGCAGTTTATTTGTTTGGGCATTGCACAAACCCCGATTTATAAAAGCAAATATATTAATATTCCAAAACGGCGTTTAATGTACAAATTAAGACTATATAGCAATCAGATAATATAGCAGTCAGTCATGAAGCCTATAAGTATTACATTTTGGGAGAAAGTTACAAAAGCAATGCACCGAAACAGTACAACTTCATATAATTTTTTTAGATATAGAACTACATCGCAGTTCTGATATGTAGAGTCTGTAAGAAAGAAAAGTGCGTTTTTGGGGAGGTGGAAGAAAAAGTGAAATTTTCAATGTTCTTCTTTCCCATAAATCTAACTTTTAACTTTTGGAAAACTTTCCCCGTGCGAGGATTGGAATTTTTAAAATTGTTAATAGCTAACTGATCTCGAAAGAGAAATAAACTGGGCTAAACTTTCCCTTTGAAAACATCTTGTTTCCGTGCAGGCCAGGTTAAGGTTAATGAAGACTCGATTAGGGTAATCATTTAGGAGGCTGACAGGACTGAACGTAAGCGTGAATAACATTAATTTTTAAAGTGATTTTATAGGAAATCCGGATCGGACGAGATGACTTTTTTCAAGCGTAGTCTCCAAACACTGTTATGAACGACAATAACCATAAAGATACAAGCGTCCAAGAGCCAATAGTTAGTGATAAGAGCTAATAGTTGGTGATGGAAATCAAATGGGGGGCTAATGATGTGCATCTAACGACACATCCCGATGGTAGTGGATGGATACTGCTTTTGAGACAATCGAAACCGATCTGGGGGAAGTACAAAAACCATTCCTAATTACCGAATGAGGATGGGAAATTAAAATGCAGAGATGCATCTATTAATGGTGTACATTAATCATCTACGATTCTAGTGGCTTTTGTATCGGTAGCACTCAAAAAGATATTGCTTCGAAGACTGAAAGTCTATATTGAGATAGGCGAATAAATTCGACTTATGTTCCAATCAACGACACCGTAAAAACCACCGATAATCTATTACATTGACTGCTTTAAGAAACTCATTTAAGAGGAAGTTGACTTGAGGTGTCTCATGGAATCGGATAGTGTGGTATCCCCGACAGTTCGTCCAGAAATCACGGGAAGTAGAATCACTTTTCTTCTGGTTCGAACTGAAGGTTTAAAAATTCGGCTACCTTCGCAGGCTGTAAGCAAAGATCTTCTGGAGTGAATAGTACCCTATTCACAGGGTAATTAAAGAGGTGCACCGTAGTTGATTTGGGTGAGACATAGCCATCGTTGTTAGTGTGACCGTTTTGGGCATGAATATGACTATGGTGATGATGATGGTGCGGGTGTACATGCGATGTTGTCGAGTTGAATGATGCCGCTGCTGTGTGTTGCAGTGTGTTGGAATGAGTTTTGAGTGTCGAGGGTCCCTCCAAAGAGGCTGATGAGGATGATTCATTCATTGCCAAATTACCAATTATATTTAGGGATTTTGGTGGTATAGATGGTGGAGGTAGAAGTTGTGCGAAACATCTGCCCGCCGTGTGATATGTGGAAGATTTACCCACCACATATCACATGGCGGGCAGATGTTTCGCACAACTTCTACAATTCGTGCCCAATACGAATTGAGACGGATGCACCATGCTGAACATAATTGTGCCAGAAATACAGGGTGAGATGAAAAAATGCAACCAACTTCTAAGCCACTCGTCCGACAGCTGTTGAAATTATTCCAGTGACAGTTCATTATATTGTTTCGAAGCGTACAAAAGCACTTTGGTGAGAGTTTTCCAGAAAAAAAGTTATTCGTGATGGAATTCAAGCGTGATAGTATGATTTCTTTATATTTGGCTGGAAAACCACAAGTAGCTATCGTTAGAGCACTCCGGCATTTAAATGTGAATAAATCTTTTGTGTCTCGTACCATTGCTCGTTACCGTGATACTGGTAGCGTAGCCCGACGTCAAGGAAGTGGACGGAAGAAAAAAACAACAACATCAGCAGTAAAGAACCGACTTGATCGCACCAAAATCTCCGGATACCAATCCGTTGGACTATTGTGTCTGGAGTATTTTGGAAAGCAACGTTGGCACTAAAAAATACCAAAGTGTCGATCACTTCAAGCAAGCGCTTTCCGGGAATGGGCCAAAATACCGCAGAGCAACATTCGGGTAGCGTGTGGCGTGTGGTTTCATTGGCCGTTTGAAGGCCATAATTCGTGCCAAAGGAGAACAGTATAAACAAATCTTAACTTATTCTAACTTTTGATGCTATTTCCGCCATTTTTTTGCTTTCATTCAGTAAAATTTAAAAAAATTACAAATTATGGCGTTTCTCACCCTGTATTATGGGAAAAAAATCGAAACCCCCATTTAACATACCTCATGATATAACTGTTCCTTGCGCTGCCATTCTGGTTGGCCATCATTGCCATTTGGTGATAGACTCGATGATTCACGATCCCAACTTAACATATCAGCGTAAAGTTTTAGCGTAAAACCAGCTTCTGTATAATTTTCCGCTTGTAAATGCAAATCGTGTAATTTGTAAATGTATCTGCAATAAAGACAGGAGGTTTAAAGATTTTGATATGCTACGAAGATGTACTTTAAATAATTACCTCAAATACATTTCCTTGCGATTGATTTCATTTTTATAGAAATTCAAGAGATTCACGGTGCAGGACATACGTTTATCACGATTCTCTTCACCCTGCATAACACTGCGATAATCGAGTAAACGTTCCAATAGCCGTGTAACCGAGGCAATGAACGCTGTGCCGGCATCCTTCCAAATGGGGTTTTCATTTTGTACCTTTTCAAGGAGTCTTTAGAATAGAACAGATATATTGAGACATTAAGGAATGTTGGGAAATTAGAAAATAATATTTAAAAAGCTACAGAAATAGTTTCAAAAGTTTTAAATAAATTTTTAGAAATACATTTTTAAAATTCAAATATTATTAGAAAATTACAGTTAAAACTACTTAAAAATATCATGGCCTAATTTAAAACTTGAAAATAAAATATTTTATTTTGCAATATTTTTGCACAAAAAAAGCAACAGGCAAATGCATTTCTATGAAAAACAAAAAGGAAAACGAAAATAAAATGAATGAATTGAAAATCAAATCTATGCAATGTGACAACGACTGATGATGAGATTCAAGTTAACTTACACCAGACTTAGATGTTCCCTTTTTTGTAGTATGTTTTGGGTTCGGTATTGAATGCATTGTTATTTAGAAGAAATTTGAATAATGACAATGATGAAAAGCACATAGTTTAAGAAGAAAAGTTGATTATAAATATTGTGTTAATTATCAAAATTAAAACGAAATTAAATAAAAATGCAACATTTGCAATGAACAACATCAAATGGCATGTGTTGATGTTAGTAGTACAATTAATATGAGTAGGTATGTATGTATGTTTGCTCCTCTTACAACAACAAAACACTTACATTGTACTGAAAAGCTCACGATATTCATCGTCACCCTTATTTTCGCTGATTAGCAAATCCAATTTGTCAATCAGTTCACTTTCAACCCAACGGAATGAACCACGGGCACTCTGAAAGAAAATAAAATACACACACACATATGAAATAGACAATATAAAATTCCATGCTGAAATTTCTTATAATTTTGGAAAGCTATTTCTAAAAACTCCAACATTTCATTGATACATTTTTGAAAATTATTCCTAAAATACAATTCATTAGCTCTAAAAATTCTTAAAGATATTCCTAAAAATTTCACTTTGATAGCTCTGGCGAATATTAAAAAAATATTCTTAAAAAGTCCAAGTTAGGAGCTTCTATATATCTTGACAAAATATGCTTAAAAGGAGCGATCTGGAAATTAAAAAAAAATCTCCAAAAGCCCAGTTTAAGATTTGTCACACATCTTCGTAAAAAATATTCTGGAAAAACTGTACGTTGATGATTCTGATAGTTGATTTAATAATGAGATTAAGCCTTGAAATCCCTGCATGAAACACGTGGATTCATTAATCTTAGTTGGGTTTCAGAACATAGCAGTATAGTGGGGAATGAGGTGGCTGATGCATAAACTCTAGACGGAACTTAGTCGATTTATCTACCGATGCTTCAAAATATCTCTTGGCGTCCGGTTGAAGGGTATCCAAGGTAATTTGGTCGGTAACCTCAAGAAGAAGAACAAGTAAAAAAGCAGCTAAATTCGACCGGGCCGAACTTTTAATACACTCCATCATTTGGAAAGAATTTGAAAAATTTAAAAAAAAAAAAAAACTTCCGGAAACTACCACTTAAATGTAAACTGTTATATGGAGACTATATGAATACTAAAAATTTTGTCATAGACTGTAGTACCCACTACGAACTTCAAATACGAAATTTGAAATTATTCCGGTAAATAATGTCGCTAAAATCATTAAAATACCGAATATCGGGAGGTACCGTTATATGGGGGCTATACAAAAACGTGAACCTACATACGAATTCTTTTTGCCATAGGCTGTAGTACCCATTACGAACTTTGAATACGAAATTTGTTACAATTCCGGTGAATAATGTCGCACAAATTATAAATATACCGAATATTGGGAGGTACCGTCATATGAGGGCTATACGAAGACGTGGACCTGCATACAAAAATTTTTGTCATAGGCTGTAGTACCAATTACAAATTACAAATTTCAAATATGAAATTTGAAATAATTCCGGTTGATAATGTCGCTAAAATCATTAAAATATCGAATATCGGGAGGTACCTTATATAGGGGCTACACGAAGACGTGGATCATATGATTTTTTTCCACAGGTTGTGGTAACCGTTAAGATCTCCTAATACGAAATTTGGAACGATTCTGGTGAATAATGTTGCTGAAATCATTAAAATACCGAATATAGGGAGCTACCGTTTTATGGTGGCTATACGAAGACGTGGACATGCATACAAAAATGTTTGTCATAGGCTGTAGTGTCCATTTCGAACTTTAAATATGAAATTTGAAATAATTCCGGTAAATACTGCCGCTAAAATCATGAAAATATTGAATATCGGGAGGTTCCGTTATATGGGGGCTATACGAAAACGTGGACCGACGTGGATGCAAAATGTTAGCCTTCTATCTCAATTCGTTCGAAAGATAACGTGATTACAATAGACTGACTGATCGTCTTAGAATTTTACACTGATCCAGAATATATATACTTTGAAGGGTGTATTATAAATATTTCGAGGAGTTACAGTTTTAGAATGGTGGAGGGTATAAAAAGCTCTCTTCTATCACTAAGTAGTTCTGATCTAAGAATCGCGGTAGGGATACTGACTGGTCAATGATAAATGACCCCTAGATGTGACAACAATGTTCATGACTACTGTGTGACTACTGTGAAGGCGAAGAAGAGGTATAGCTGATTGACATAGGCTATTTGGCAGATGGGTTAACTTAAACTTCTCTCTATAAATCTTTTCTTCTGCTTGTCGTTTCTATATCTATCCTATTTCCGACAATTTTTAGCTGCGCTCTCTTAAACCGAATCAACCAACCAAGCTTGATAAGAAACTCCCAAGAAACTCCCAGTCAAGACACCTATATCGGCGTTTTGAAAATCGACGTCGTAAAGTAAGCCAATTCCTCAGTTATTGACATTTTCGGATAAGATTCCTCGGAAGCCATGCATTTTAGGTATATAGTGTATTTGGCAATATTGCAGATAAAAATAAGGACAATATTTTGGTTGAAATTTTTAACCCTTATGCAATGCAACAAATGTTTTTTTTGGTCCTTTTTTCAAAACATGTTTAAAAAGTCCGCTTAAATGGGATCGTAGTAAGTTTAAAATTCTACTATAGGTCTTAGAAGACATCAAAAGTCTTGATCTTATTTCAACGCCAGGAATTCATATATATTACAAAAACATTTTAGGGTTAAAGCAGTACTTCACGCGAGTTTATGGATAAATATCCAACAAAGCATCATTTTTGAATAATGACATCAAAGAAAAAATATTCTTCATAAAATTTCGCAATAAGCCACTGAAGAAATGAAAACGCTATTTCCATAATATATCTGCATCAACATTGCCAAAAAAACGCGAAAAAATGTCCTATTTTTTAATAAATTTTTCCTTGGCCATTTTTCGAGTTGAGTAACATAATTTTTTTTTTTTTTTTTTGAATTTGATAGTATTCTGTTTGAAGATCAAAAGCCCAAAAGATTTTCAAGCTCTTAGGTCAAGCTATTTTAAGGCCCCTATATAGCCTCAACCATATACTAAAGGAACTCAATATAAATGTCGTAACTTTTAAATATAGTGCGTTGATAGATAATTTTGGATTACTTCAAGAATAGAAATAGGTCATGGCGATCCACTTTGTTTGACTTGTAAGGATCCTGTTTAAATGGAGTTTTTAACCATATTTTGAAAAATATATATACAAAAAAGGCCCATGTGGTAAATCGCCTTTGGGTCACATTTATCGTATTGTTATCTGTATATGGTATAAGTAAAATAGTAATCCGCAAAATTGCAAAAAAGTTTGAAGAGGGGGAACTTGTTTCATAATCTACTAAGTTTTTCCTGTTAATATTTTAGAAATTAATTCGAGCATTCTTTTAAAATACTGATTTGAGTTATATTGCAACTTACCTGTTCACATTGTATCATATCGTAGAATACGGTCAATGTAGCCTTTCTCAGTGATGGCTCGGGAACCAGTGTAACCTCCAGGAATGGCCCCACCATATATGGTATAAAATTCAGCTTTTGTTCACCCAACTGTGACCACATACTCAGTATTTGAAAACCCATCAAAACACGCATATCCCCGTGCGAATGTAAAATTTTACGCCGTTTCGGTTCACGATATTTTTCCAATTGCAATGAGGGTTGCGTCAGAAAGATCACAGCCAAATGGAAGTATTTTCGCCACAATTGAAAATCGAATAATTTAGATGACAAAAAACGATAAACCAATGGTTTGGCAAATTCTTCCAGAGATTTGCGCAAAACATCGTTACATGCCAATTTCATGATTAACCAATCGTTGGGAAAGACCAACCAATCCTGTGACAATAGCTCCTCGAAAACTAACAATGAACTTGAGAGAAAATCTTTGAGATCACGTGGATCCTTGTTGGGACACAATTCATCCCAATAACGTTTGTATTGTGTCTCGTCCAACAGCTGCAACAGGCCCAACATACAAGCCACCAATTGTGGTACCACCGGATTGGAACCTTCAATTATAATGATAATCGTTTTGATTAGTATGCCCAAGATGTTTTTACACAGCGAATCTAAATCGTGTTGCAGCGTATTGGTGACTTTGTCTTTTTGCTCCTTTTGCAGATCATATAAATGTGTTAGGATTTCTGCCAGAATATCGGCACAAAGTTTCAATTCATTACGGCGTCCCAAATGCATGCGTAGGTGTTTGCAGGCAACCGATAGGATGACTGTACGGGAATCTGAAATTAGAAAAAAAAAACATTGTCACCCATTAGTAAAGTTAGCTCTTTAGAAAAAATCGTAAAAAATGCTTCTAGTTCCAAAAACTCTTTCAAAAACTTCATGACCACTGTGCTAATAGTGCTCCAGAAAAAATCTTGAAAAAATGCACAATTGTGGCTAGGGTAGTTCCTAATGAAAAATCATTAAAAAGGTCACAATTGGGACTCGTAAAATTTCCTACCCAAAAATTCTTGAAAACATCCGTGTAACCCATGAAAAATTCCAGAAAATACAAGATTTTTGCTCTTCTAGTATAAAAGCTCCTTAAAAAGTAGTCTATTGTGGCATTGGTGCTTTTTTACAAGGTTGTTTAAAATATCACTATTACAGCTCTGATATACCTTAATAATATACCGATTGGGGCCCTGGTAGTTTTTTCTACAAAAAATCTTTAACGGGTTTTCTACAAAAAAATTAAAAAAATCCACAATTGTGGCTTCGGTAGTTTTTCTACATTTTTTTTTTAAATTCACGGTTAACCCTGATAGTCCTTCGAAAAATTAATTAAAGGTTTTATAATTATGGTCTAACAGACCTGTATAAAGGTTCCAGCACTGATAGTTCTCTAAAAAATCTTAAAAAAGGGCAGATAGTCCTCTACGAAAAATCTCTACAACAATCCATGATTTTGGCTCTGATTGTTCTCCTAAAATTCCCAACAATTTTTACGTTTGCGGCCTGACAGTCTTTCATAAAAATTCCTAAAAATAACATATTCAGACACTGACCGTTCTCGAAAAAATTCTTAAAAATGGCTGATATAGTTCAAAATAGTTGCTCCAATAGTCCTCCACAAAATTCTCTTTAATATAATCGAAATTTTTATCTAATCGCCCGATATAAAAATTCTTGAAAAATCCACGATTGTGGCTCCTAAGTCTCTACGAAAAAACCTTTGAAAGCCGTAATTATGCCTCTTTAGAAATCGACCTTTGTTCCTCTCATAGACCTCTAGAAATCGGGATCTACACAACTAACAGAAAGTGAATTGAAAAAAAAAAAAATACAATGAATCGACCATTGTTTTCTTACTCACCATCCTCATGGAAAAGTTCACCAGATACCAAATCCTTAACAGCCTGTAGTTTGGCCTGAATCAAACGGACCGGAGCATCCCTGGGTATGGCATCTAACATATTACGGGCCAACATTCCCAATTCCGGTGCTGGTAGGGTATCTTTCAATTGTTCCAAAACCACTCCCGTTGAACTTAGCAGAGCCTCCTGTGTGGGTATGATAAGATCATAGGATGGCACCGCCAACATACCATTCAAGGCAGTGAAAAGTGAATGCAAGTCCCGGCGAAATGAATCTTCGTATTGACCACCGGTGGCTCGGGCAAACAACTTGCGAGATTGTATTAAAAGTTTAAAAATATATTCCAAGGAGCCAAAACACTTTTGAAATGGATCTGGATGTTCGGCTTTCGTTAGAAACACGGCCATATGTTCGACAGAGGTAATAAGGCCCTTGTAGACCAAGGCGGCGGCAAAATGGTTTTCAATGTACTCATTCATGACCGGGCGAAAATGTTGAAATTTATTGCTTTGCAGGAGACTAAAAATGCTCACCAGCACATGGAAGACTAGGCCCGAATGTTGGGTACTGTTGCCCTCCTCATTGGAGAACATGGCAAAGAGGGCGTCCAAGACATCTTGCAGAAATTTAACAAGTTCTTCATCGTTTAGACGCAGCACACCCGTCAACGAGTCTTGGATCTTTTCGGGATGGGCCCGCCATTGTAGCAGCGACAGTAAATCGGCATTTTGTGTTAGTTTTGTGGAACACAGCAGGGAGCGCATAACAAACACTTCCTTGGAGCTACGATGAAACGTTGAGCTACATTCCACTTTGGCATGCGGATCTTTGGGTTTACAGGGTAATATCAAATAATTGGCAGTGGTTAGTTTTGCAGCATCCTCACATTTGTAGACATACAGTTCATGTTGGCCATCAGCCAGTGTGGCTCCGCTGGGATCCATGAGACGGGCAAAACTGAAACCAAACAATTTTGGTTCCGATTTTTCCCTGGTCGAACAGTGGCGAAACTCAAATCGGACATGGGCTGCAGAGAACTTATCAATGGGTACACTCAGCCGTAACATTTCATTCCAGCAAGGAGCATTTTGATGATATAGAATCATGGATTTGTAGTAATTTTGGGTATCCATACCCGAAGCACCCCATAGACATTCTGTCAGGACATTGCCAGCAACGTCCAAGACCACAACCGTAACGAGAATATTTTTCGCTGTATTTTTGCCACCCCGCTCAAATTCACCTCTTTCCAGGGTGATGAACATATCGTTGCGTACATCACCGGGCATTATTACATCGGGGAAGCCCATTTTACGGGTAATCGTACTACCTTGGAAGAGTAGGGGTTGTTCCTGTCGGGCCTGGCCTAAACCACCGTGCAAGAGTTTCAATGACACAATAATACCCTGATTACTTTGATTAATTGTTGTAATCGGCTGGAATTTGCTGCTGGATTTCTTAATGATCAGTTCATGTAGCTGATGGAAATCTTTCTCATCATTGTGATAGACCAATTTGATATTGTGATCCTTTTCCTCTGACTCAATGGTGGTATCATAGTGGCCAATATCGGCCAGTGAGAGGACACCCACACCGAAGGGACGCCGGTATGCAGCTGTGCCGGTACAACAGGAATTATTGCTTGACTTTTCCGAGGGGAGAATTTTTCCCACACGCATTACAACGGCCACCAAATAGAGGTCTTCATTCAAGTCGGCAGCACCTAGAAGAGGGAGGGAGGGAGTTTTAAATTTCATTTGGAATCGAAGGAATCACACCACAAACATACCTAAATCTGTGAATACTGTACAATTACTGTTGACCCTTTCAATATAATTCGCATAGCCATCTTTACAGATCTTCACCACAAATCGTTCGGACACGGCTTTCATGTGATTCGCATCGTATAGATAGAAATAGACTTCGGCATCATCGCCACCACCAATGCGATAACCAAATTCACGCATGCAAAAATACAAATGGTGGGTGAGAATTTTTCGTTGGGTTTTTCGGCGCAAAGTACCTCGACTCTGGGAAAGAGAAAAGTCAGGAAATGAGGTTATGTATGTCAAGTAAATATTGCATGTTGGATATGGTGGGCATTAACTTACCGACGAGGCTTTGGCATTATCGGCACTTGTGACATGAACATTGTATAGACCAACAATTCCTATGTTATGGGGATCCACAGCCAAGGGACCAATACGTGGCACCAAATCAAGGCCTAGTTTTCTGTAAAGAAAAAATAAAATTTAATTTTTAAATATTTTTTTGCAGAAAAAAAAACTATTTTTTAAAGAAATTTTCAAGAAAAATATGTTTGTATAAAATTAAAATATTTTTTTAAGAGAAAAAACTTAGAAATTCTCCAATTAATTTTTTGAATAACTTTTTATGAAATTTAATTCATAAATATTTTATTTTTTATGAGATATTATTTTTTATTATTTGTCATATAATTATATATTTTTATTCATAAAAATATAAAAAAAACTGCAACAAAGTCAAACGCCATAATTTTAACACTTTTATTTATTTATTTAAATTTTTTTGAATGAAAGCAAAAAATGTCGGAAATAGCATCAAGTTTTAATATAAGTTTAGATTTGTTCGAATTGGTCACCTTTGACACGAATTATGGCCTTCAAACCAATGAAACCGCCACACACTGCCCGAATGTTGCTCTGCGGTATTTTGGTTCATTCACCCCGGCGAAGCGCTTGCTTGAGGTGATTGACACTTTAGTATTTTTTAGTGCCAACCTTGCTTTCCAAAATACTCCAGACACAATAGTCCAACGGATTGGTATCCGGCCATTGTGCGCTGGAAATGAAGCGAGTAACCTTATTTTGTAACCATTCTTGGGTGGCGCGTGCTGAGTGCAATGGTGCTGAGTCCTGTTGGAATGTCCAAGGTCTGTGGCCAAAATATTTGCGTTCCCAAGGCTTTAATATTTTCGCTATAATATTCGGCATTTATTCTGATGCCACGGTCGATTAATACGAGCGGAGCGATCATCAGCTGTTATGGCGGCCCACACCATCACCATGGCCGGCGCTTGAGTTCTGGTGGCCAACCGAAGGTGCACACTTTCAGCTGACCTCTTTGGCAAGTAAACACGATCATTTTGTTTTTTTTACAAACTGCTGGACAACGAATGTTTTCTCAACGGAGAAAACCAAATTCGTCAGTTCACCACTTTCGGCCAAGCGAGGCAACACTTTAGCTCTTTTGAGTCTATTTTCTTTCTGTTGCGGTGTAAGTTCTTGCACTTTTTGAAATTTCATTGGCTTTACCCCGAGTTCATTTTTCAATATTTGGCGAATGGAATATTGCGATATGTTCAACCTTTTTTCGGCCACTGCGACGCGGGTTTCGATCAAGTCGCTTCTTTACTTTTCGAACCATTTCTGCTGATGTTGCTGTTTTCTTCCGTCCCCTTCCTTAATGTCGGGTTACGCTACCAGTATCACGGTAACGAGCTATGGTACGAGACACAAAAGATTTATTCACTTTTAAATGCTGGAGTGCTCCAACTCATCCTGTATTATTTTCAACATAATTTTAAAAATCATGTTTTTTAAATCTCAAAAGTGTTGTAATTTTTTGGAAAGGAAAAAAATAAAATTTGATTTTTAAATGTTTTTTTTTGGCAGAAAACCCATATTTTTTAAGTGTTTTTAAGACAAATTTTTTTTGTTTTTAAATTAAAACAATTTTTTTTGAAGAAAAAAAAAAACACAAAAATTCTGCAATTAAAATTAAATTGTTTGAATAACTTTTAAGGATAAATATTATTTCCGAAACTTAGGTATTCCCTGCCTTATCCCCTGGTAAACATTACAATCGTTCTCCATTAATAAACAAACGTTGTTTCTATAAAAACAACAAGCTTAAACAAGATTATTTTTCTTATCTTATTTTTTTATAAAATATTTTAATTTTTAACATAATTTAAAAAAATATATTTTTTTTCAACAGAAGAAAAAACTCAAAAAGGTTGTAATTAACATTTAATTTCCCACATTTTTTGGAATTTTGTTTTTTTTTTTTTCAATTTCTATTTGAAGATTCCATGATTTATTATGTGTCGTCGTTCCAGTGCTAATAGCATCCACCACAAATGACCACAAGTATGCCTGTCCGATTGTCGGCATAGCAGTGACCAAAAGTGATAATTTTTCAATCATTTATCTCAACCAAGAACAAAAAAAGCTACTCATTGCGGGTGGTTTAAGGCCAAAGAGGCAAATCGAACCCAACCAAGAACCAGTATCGAACAAACATTGCCAACAAACATAACAAAAACAAAACAAACGACAAAAAAAATAGAGAAACCTCAAAAACCACTGAAATCGAATATTTTGACATGAAACCCATTTAAAACTAATGGGTTTCCAGCCATTCCTGTGGCCATCAATGATCATCAATTGCATGGTAACGTTTTGTATGTTTTTATGTGTGTGCGTGTAATAGGGTGTAATGAGGGCGAATGAGATTTTTAAAATTATTTTCTATCCAAGGCTTTTAAATGTTATTTAGAAATTGTTTTTAGTAGGAGGCTGTATATCTTGTCAGGAGTCCTTACAATTGCAGCAACCCAGCTGAATGAAAGTTCACGAACACAAAAAAAATGAAGAAATAAAATTAAATAGGAAGATAAAATAACGTTTATTATCGAAAATGGTTTTTGCATACCAAATTTTTCGAGATCTGAATCAATATACCTTATATGGTGTAAGGTATACAAAAACCAGTAAGGAAAGGTCAAAAGTCGGAAGGGTCCGACTTCCTGATATAGAGTGAGTGGTGAAAAATAACCGTAAAATCGGATGAATATGTATATCGAAGCTATATAAAATTCTGATAAAAATCTGCATCCGGTACCAAATATTATTATTGTGGAGTAAATATTACGCATGTGAGAGACTTAAAACCCCTAATAGGACGAAACATATATATGAAAGCTATAGCTATATCTGAACCAATTTTCTTTAAATTTGATGTAATTGCTTCTAGACTGAATTCGGAAGTGCCGAAATGCAAATGGATGCATGGTTTTGTATTCCACCCTAATGTCCATACATTCGTGCAGACACTAATGGGCGTTGAGACTATCGAATAAATGTGTGGTAAATGTTTAAAATGTAAATGTAATTAACACGAAAAGAAAAAAAAAGGAGTCTAAATGAATTGCTAAGTTTTATACGAGTTCAGATGGTGTGGTTAGTGGTAAAAAAATGTAAGAACCATTATATGGAAGCCTCAGCAGACCGTTATGTACTACGCAAAATTTGGAAAATAAAATATTTGGCGGTAAAAAGGATATGGAAGAAAATACTTAAAAACAAGTAAAAAAAAAAACAGCTAAGTTCAGGTGGGCGGACCTTTTTATATCCCCCACCATTTCGAAGGAACTTGAAAATTTTCAAAAAAAAAAAAAAAAAACGTAGAAAAATACCTCTCAAATAAAACCCCGTATGGGGGTTTCATAAGTAATTTTTTGTTACAGATTGTAGTACCGATTACGAACTTTAAATACAAAATTTGAAACAATTCTGTCACCAATTGTCCCTAAAATTATCAAAAAGCCGAATATTGGGAGTTACTATAACATGGGTGCTGTACGTAGACATGGACCTGCATGGACACTTTTTTTGTCATATATTGAAGTTCCCATAACGAACTTCAACTATGAAATTTGAAACAATTCCGGTTAATAATATCGCTGAAATCATCAAAATACCGAATATCGGAAGTTATCGTTGTATGGGGGCTTTTCGAAGACGTGAACCTGTGTACTCGATTTTTTGTCATAGGCTGTATTAAGTATTACGAACTTAAAATACGAAATTAAATAAATTTCGAAATAATTCCGGTAAAAAATATCGCTAAAATCGCCAGAGTACCGAATATTGGGAGGTACCGTTATATGGGGGCTATATGAAAACGTGGCCTTGAAAATTAATCCATAATTATAGCTTCGTCAAATTCTGAAATTATCATTTTGAAAAATCCACCTTCTGATGATTATCGCAACTTGTACTTAATTTTTTTTTTAAATCCCCAACCATAGCTCTGATAGTCCTTGAAAAAAATATTAAAAAAAATACCCAATCCGTGAAAAATAATAAAAAAAATTAGAAAATATCAGTCGGTTTTGCCGACAGATGTATACCCTCAGCCAATGTTTGATTATTTAAATATATTTTGATTTCTGCTATGATTATTCAAATTGATGGAGTAGGTTTGGAAGGAATATTGTCCATTTCGCATCGGGATCGGGAGGGGTTCGCAGATATATATCAACTTTACATTATCAACATTACACATCTTGTGTTAGAAAAAATGTTTGTATGTGTGAAATTTGTTTTTCAAAATCTTGAACCCTATATGCGGGAGGTACCAGAATTAATGGTGCGATCTCTACCATCGTTATAACAGATCTTGTGTTGATAGAAATATTGATATGTACCCAGTCTTGAATGGAATCGGATGTTAATTTCGCTTTTATGAGCTTCATGGATATTTAAAATGTTTAAAATGTTGTTTGTGGGGGAGGTACCAGAAGGAGTGGACCGATGTATTCCATATTAACACCAGACCTAGGGTTAATAAAATTATTTGGAAGTGTGAAATATAAAGACAATCGGACACTCACATCACATTTTATAAGAGTTGTTATTATTCAAAATTTTAACCCTTTGTGGGAGAGGTACTTGATGGAGTGGACCGCTATTGTCCATTTTCGCACCTGACCTAGAACTGACGCAAATATTAGCATTTGCAAAGTTGGAGCAAAATCGGATTACTGTTTCTCTTTATGTGTAAAAAATATATTTTTTGAAAATTTCGACATTTTGTGGGGGAGGTGACAGAAGGAGTGGACCGATATTGCCCATCTCCGAACTTGATCTAAGTTTTACAAAAATATTACGATGTATCAACTTTGGGCCAAATTTGATACTACCTTCGAGAGTTATCGTGCACATCAGCCAGACAGACGGACGTACATCGCTAGATCGACTCCAAATGTCCTGAAACGGATTTGGAAATCTAGGGTCTAAAACCGTCATTTCGAGGCACGTTTTGAACGTATCAAATGATATATACCTTCTGTAGCTGAAGGTATAAAAATACCCAATAATAGCTCTGTTAGTTCTTAAAAAAATAATCCATGATTCTTCAATTCTTTAAAAGAGCCCTTAAAAATCATAAAATCTTTAATTATA